ATTATTATTATTATTATGATATTTTTAAATATATTTATATAATTTCGTGAGGGGGAGAGGGTAGAAGGGTACTTTTTACCATTGTTTATGTTTTAAACGTGAAAATCATCATTAAAATAACCGGAAGTCACCGGAAAACCTACGGAAAAATAATCAAATAACTTATTAAAAGAGAAAAAAAGGAAAAATAACGATTTGTTTTTTTTTTTTTTTAAATAATAATTATAATTTTACGATTTTACCTGTAGCAGAAGAAAACATAAAAAAAAAAGTTAATAATTAAATAAAAATCTTTTGTTTAAAAAAAGTGGATTAAAAAAAATTAATCATATGTAATTAAAATAATATTTTTTATTTTTTAAGATATAATATTTAAATCCTGTTGTTGTTGTTATTCTTTTTGTATATATATAAAAGGTAATGTTTAATGATGGAAAATGATAATAATAATAATAATAATAATAATAATATTAACATGGGATCGTGAAGAAATAATTGAGTCTTTCTTTTTTTTCCATTGGCGCCAACAACATCAAATCGAGTTTTTCTTCTTCGTGATTTTTCCAATTAAAAATCAATTAATTTTTACTCTCGGACGACGAGACATTTTTTTTTTTTTTTTAATTTTACTTCCTTATTATTATTATTATTATTATTTTTTTTTTTTTAAAAATAATTCACTCATGCATAAATAATAATAAACGAAATAATAATAATAATAATAAAAGCGAGGAAGTTTTTTAAAAAAAAAACAAAAAAATTTTTTTTTATTTGTTATTATTATTACTCGAATAATTTAGAGGAAATAATAATAATAATAATAATAATTTTATATGTATAAAACGTTTAGAAATTAAAATGAATACTTTTACTTAATAATAATAATAATAATAATAATAATAATAATAATAATATAATTTTATTATCCACGTGTGTTTACGATTGTGTATTTTATTTATTAATTAATGGAAAAAATACTTTTTTTTTAACGTGTTATTTTAATAATTTTATTTATTAAAAAAATTTAACATAAATAAACGTTTGGGAAAAATGTTTAATAATTTAAAAAAAAGGAAAAAAGGAAGGAAAAAAAGGAAAAAATTTATAGTAAATGCTAACGATAAATTATGTAATAAATCAAGCTTGAGTTACCGAAAGGCGACGTCAATTTGGTCGGCGTCGGCGATCGAGGGCAAAACTTTCTCATTTATCATATATATATATAAAATTTTTTTGGGGGGATTGGGGGGGGGGGGGAGGGGAAAGGAAGGAAGTGAAAAGAAAAATATTAAAATTCACTCTTTTTTTTTTAATGCGAGATTTTCCTCTTTTTCCCCCCATTGCAAACGTTTATTATCACGTTTGAAATTTTTCTATAAAAAAAATTAATTATCGGGACATTCATTCAAATATTCAATTATTATTATTATTTAAATATTTAAAAAAAAATTAAATTAATTAAATTTAATTAAACAACAACAACAACAAAACCATATATGGTATTTATTGAAAAAATGCATCAATTTATTAAAAAAAAAAAAAAGGAAAACTCACGCACGTTTGTGTAATTTTCTATCTCTCTCTCTCTCTCTCTCTCTCTCTTTTTCTTCCGTGTGTGTGTGGGAGTGCGCGAATATTATTTATCTATAATCAGGCTAATTTTAAAAAAAAAATAAAATTTTATTTTATTCATAAAGTTAAAAAAAAAAAAAGAGGAAGTTGTTGTGTTAATTTATACGTATGTTTATTTATTTATTTATTTATTAAAAAATAATAATAATATTTTTTTTATAAATATTATAAAAGAATAATGATGATAATAATAATAATCGGAAACGTCGAAACAAAATAAATGAATTAGGAAAAGAAAAAGTAAAAAGGGGGCGAAAAGTAAGATAGAAAAAAAAAAAAAAAAAAAAGCTCCAGATGAGTTTGAAAAGGGGGGAAAAGACTTGCGCCCTAAGGTTCGACACAAGATGCTTTTCGCGCTGGTGGGGTGTGGCGCTCATTTCCGCAAAGAAAATCGCCACCAAAGCATTTAAAATTATTTTCTTTTCTTTTCTTCCCTTTTTTTTTTAGTTTTTCTCTTTATTATTTTTTTGGTTTTTATTTAAAATAAAATTTCGAAACGTTTTTTTTTTTTTTTTTTTTGATTTTTAGTTTAAAAAAATAGTATTAATAAATAAATAAATAAAAATAATTATTTTAAAGGAGAAAGAAAAACGCGTGAAGAGGAAAATTTTTTTTTTTTTTTTCTAAAAAAAAAAGGGATAGATGGAAGTTTGTTGTCAACTTCCGTCAGTTTTGTTTTTTTTCTTTTTTCTTTTCTTTTTCCTTTTTTTTTTTTTTTTTGTTAACAAAAGACGGCGTACAAAAGGCGTGCCTTTCGGTCAATAGTGTCAGCATCGGCTTGAGACTAATTTAATAAATAAGGTAAGAAAATATATATATTAACTATTATTATTATTATTATTAATAATATTGACAAAAATCTTATTTAAGTAATTAATGTTTGTTTTTGTTGTTAATTATTTATTATTATTATTATTATTAATTTTATATATTAAATCCAAGTTTTTTTTATGTTAAGAAACATGTTGAAAGAAAAAATAATAATAATAATAATAATAATAATAATAATAATAATTTTAAATAAGATTTTTTATTTGTTGTTTAATTCGATAATTTTTGTTTTTGTTTTCTCATTATTATTATTATTATTATTATTATTATTATTTTGGTAAATGATAATTGATGCACGTTTTTTTTTCTTAAACAAAATACAATTCACGCAAACTCTAACCGAAATTTTAAAATTAAATTTTTTAATTTTTTTTGTTTAAATTTTTTGATTTTTTTTTACAATAACAATAAAAAAAAATGGCAAATAAACAAAAAAAAAAAAATTTTAAATTTAAAATCAATAATTTATGATGATTTTTTCTATTCAAATTTACTTATGGCATGACAATAAATAAATTATTTCAAACGTTTACTATTATTAATAATAATAATTGTTATTGTTTATAAATTATTTGTTGTTAATTTAACAACAAAAATTCTGAAATAAATAAGAAAATAAAAGGATTAAACGCCCCAAAATGTTTAAACATATGGAAAAGTTTTCATCCCCAACAATATGTTATTAAGAAAATTGTTTATATCACTTCATTTTTTTGTTTACAACAATTAAATAATATATTTCTTTTTAGTTTTATTATTAATTTTTTAAAAATTTATTTATTGATGATTTTTAAACAAAAATTTGTTTGAGTGAACTTGTTAAAAATATTTTTTATTTAAATTTACATAAAATTTTTTGGTTGTTAAAAATAATTATGACAATTGTAATTATTTATTTATTGTATTAAAAAAAAAAAGGAAGAAAAAAGGTCATAATTATAAAATATTTATGAATTTTTATAAATTTTGGAATGCTAAGAATCCAGACATATTGCCATATCCATGGCAACTGGATCTATTCAACCCTCGACTTTCCAATGAAAACAACTTTTGTTAATTTTTTTCTTTTTTCCCATTTTTTTCCCATTTTTTTTTTTTTTTTTTTGATGTAATTGTTGTTTTCCTTCAATTGATTTTTATTCGTTTCATATTTATTTTTAAAAAAAATTTTTTTCCCTCCCCCCCCTTTTTTTTAAATAAAGGATTTAAATTTTTAAAATCTTTTCAATATTATTATTATTATTATTATTATTACTTTTCAATGAAATTTTATAAGTTAATTGCTTCGAATTCCTTTTTTTTAAATTCTCCCTTTCATCTTTTAATAATAAATTTTTCTCTTTTTTTTTTCTTTTGAATTAGAATAAAAAATTTATTTGGAAAAAAAAATTAAATTTGACCTTTTGACATGTCAATAATATGTTACCATATTGTAACATTTATTATTATTATTTATTAATTAATTGCCATATTTATTTTTTTTTATTTGGTCCAGGGAAATAATATAAATGTGATTTTATTTTATTTTTATTTCAGGGTGAGATATGTGACATGACATCACTCTAAATTTTGATAGGCCTTTGTTTGAAAGTAATAAAAAAAAATTGGTCTCATTATTGAAAGTGGAAAAATTTTGGATATATCATTACATTTTTGTTTAAAAAAAAAAGGTGTTATTAACAAATGGAAAGAGATAAATGTTATTAAAAACTTTCATGGAAAATTTAATATGCTGGGAAAAGTCATAAAATTTATAAATTTTTAACCAATATTTTTTTAAATTCAATGGTTAAAAGGTGGTTAATTTTATCTTTTATCTTAATTACATATATATATATATGTAGTGTTATTGTGTACCTTTTTTCAAAACCTTAATACTATCTTTATAAAATATTATTACTAAATAAACATTAAAAATTTGTTTAATTTTTTTAAACTTCAAAGAAACAAAAATAAAAAATGTTTTAGTTCTTAAGATAAATAAATAATATTTAACTCATTCAATTTAAAAGTAAATAAATAAATAAATAGTTTCTAGGTATAAACTTTAGATATTATTAAACTTAATTTTATGGATTTAATAAAACATTTTTTTCCCATTTTTTTTTTTTTTTTTTTTTTACTGAGTGTAAAACATTCAAGTTTGAATTTAAAATATTATGAAAATTTTAAAAGTTTCCTCTCTCTCAAGTATTATTGAAATATTTGAAATTTTAAATCGATTAAACTGTTACTATATTTAAAAAAAAAAAAAAAAAAATTTTCTTCAATTGTTCAACCGCCATTTTCTTTAATATTTTTTTTATATGTTTTTCTCTTTAAAAAATTTATTGTGAAGCAAAATTTTTATTTAAAAGTTTACAATTAATGACCTAATTATTATTTTATTTATAATTTAGTCTTTTTCAGGTTTTAACAAATTGAAAAATAAAAAAAAAAAAATTTAAACAAACTTTTTATATGTGATATTGTTTTGTCATAAACGCAACAAAATTAATTTAATTAAAGGTTTTCCTAATGAAATTTTTTTTTCTTTTTTCTTTTGCAGATGAGATAGACAAATAAGAACAATGAAATTCATTTAAATATTGAAAAGAAATATTAATTAAAATATTATTTATAACTTGGTTGGTCACGCGTATTCTTGGGGAATTAACACACCAAAAGAGATGTTATTGCTTGAGAATACACGTAGCTGACAAGTTTGAGCATCACCTATACAATTACATTTAAAACAAAAAAATTATTTTTGTAAGTATTACAATTTTATATTATTATTTCAATAATTTAATTTAAAAGTTATTTAAATAAATAAATTTTTATGCATTACTGTTTAAAATATTTTTATTTTATTATGTATAAATGTTTTTTTTTAACCTTAAAACTCTTTTCTATTGTTATTAAATGATTTTGTATTTGAAAACAGTATTATGACAAATTTTAGTAACATTATATAACAGTCCATAGTTAAAATAAAAAAAAGTAGTAAAAATTTTGAGCATATTAATTATCATAATATAATAATAATAATAATATAAAATATATTTGCTTATCAAGCTTCAACTTTTAATGTAATAATGATTGTAAAAAAAAAAAAAAAAAAAGCTGAGGTATGTAGTTTTTAAGAAATAAAAAAAAAATAATACAATAAAATAAACATTTTCAAAGTGTAGTAAAATTAAATTATTAGGATAAAAAAAAACTTTTTGAGTTCAATAAGAAGTTGACAAGTTCAAAATAACCAACTAATTTTCACGGGATTTTTTTTAAATTCAATAAAATTTCCATATTTGATTTGCTTCTATAACTTAATGATAAATTATTCGTTATTTGTTATAAAAAAAAATTATTTTTAAATGACGTGTTTGACAAATAAATTAAACTTAAAAAAAAAAAGTTAAAAAACACGTTTAAAAAATCTACACTAACAAAGCGTAACCCAAAAATCCCATAAGCGAATAAAATTATTTCCTTATTTTATTCTTATTTTCCTTTCATTACACTGCTAGAAACCAAATTCTAAAAAAAAAAAAAAAAATAATAATGATAGTTTTTAAAATTAATTTCATAATATTTCTATTGATGAAAAATAATTTCATTAATTAAAACAAAAAATAATAATTTATAATTAATAATAATAATAATAAAATACCTGTAATTTATCAATTGTTTCATCCCAATTTCTATTTCCTATTTCAATAACACTGGTCACCAAGAGGTCAGTAACCTTTTTAACGTTTTTTTTAAACTGTTCTACGACAGCTTCAGCATGAACATTATCACCTGCGCTTCTCCAACAATCATAATCTGTTATCATTGCAACAGAAGCATAACATAAACCTGCTTCTTTAGCCAAAACCACCTAAATTTAACAAATAAATTTAGTTCTGTAATTATGACTAATAATAATAAATTAACAAAGAATTTTTTCTGTCAAATTTCTGCAATATTGGAGTTCTACATATATATACAAATGTCTACAGCATTTATTATAATTTAAGAAACTTAATAGGGGATTTTAAAAAATGATTAAACTTATTTAATTCTCTTTAAAAAAAATATTATTTAAAATAATTAAATGTAAATAAAAAAAAGCACAGCTGTATTAATTGAGTATCAAATTTAATACTTTTTATTGACTGTTCATTAAAAATTAGGTTATAATGATTAATGTTATCAATAATGAAAAAAAAAAAAAAAAAATTTTTTTTTATCTTTGATAATAATTTGCAAAAACATAATCAAATAATTTTAATCAACAAAGTACTAGAAAAAAACAATAATAATAATAAGTTTTATTGTCGGCATTATACAAAAAGATAAAATAAAATTTGGTTTGATAAAATAACTTACTTCAGGCACAAGTGTCATATTAATGGCATCACCCCCCCAACTTCTAAACATCATGCTTTCTGCCTTACTAGAAAATCTAGGACCTTCTACAACAACACATGTTCCAGAAGTATGAAATTTTAAATTAAGTTTCTTGGCACAATGAATTAATACTTTTCTTGTTTCTTCACAAAATGCTGGTGCCATTTGTAAATGACAAACTCCCGGTAAAGATTTACAGGAATCGTCATAAAATGTTGAAGGTCTATTTTTAGTTCTGAAAAATGAATTATGATAAAATACACTATAGTTAATGTTTCAATGTAATTTATTTTCTCTTACTTAAACCTGATTTTTCTTAAAATTATTTTAATAAAAATAAATTTAATTTTTACTTTACTTTTAAATAAAAAAAAAAAGTATTAATATATAAAATGTGATAAAACTAATATTTAAAATTTTAAAAAAATTATGAATTTTTGACATTTTACATTAATAAATAAAATCAAACCTATCAATAAAAGAATCCAAAATTACAACATCTCCAGGTGTATATTCTTCCCTTAATGACCCACATGCATTAGATGCCAAAATGTGAGTGCATCCAACAGATTTTAAAGCCCAAATATTTGCCCTGTAATTTATATTACCAGGCATCACAGAATGATTTCTCCCATGTCTAGCTAATAAAACACAAGGTATATTTTTAATGGTTCCTTCTATTAATACATCCGAGGGATTTCCAAATATGCTGTTGACATGTTTTTCTACTCTGTTGTTTAATATGTCTGGATTATCCAAACCTGTCCCACCAATTATACCAATCTGCATATAAAAAAATTTATAAGTAATTTAAATAATAGTTTTTTGACTTAAAGAATCTTTAATAAATTTTATATTTTTTAATTTTTTTTTTTTTTTTTTTTCAAATAAACGTTCTAATGCAGTTTATAAAATTTAAAAGTTAATTACTTACCTTTATTGGATACTTCATGATAAATGATTATTGAACTATATTGAAATATTTTATGAAATTATTGGATTTGAATCTCTATTATAATAAATCTTCAACTAATATATTACTAATAACACTCAAAAATTATCTTATTTAATCTAAAAAAAAAAAAAAAAAAAAATTATCAAAATCAATCACTTTGAAAAAAAAAAACAAAAAAAAACTAATGTGATAAGCATCATAAAAACTTTAATACCGTATTTTTTAAATAACAAAAAAAAAAGTATCATCAAAAAAACCTTTTATCTTGCGGTACAAATCAAAAAAACTTAAACACAATCAGCTTTATATCATAAAAATATAATAAAAAATAAAAGTTTTATTTCAAAAAAGAAACAAGCAGCCAACAGATTTTATTTAAATTTAAAAAAGCCGTTTATCAGTGCCGAGTTGCCAAATGATACTTTCAGTTTACACATTTTATTTATTGAAAACTACTATCAAAAATGATAAGTAAAAAACATCAACTTAAATATATTCAATTTCTTAATCTTTTAAATTGCAAAAACTTTTTTAGTAATGTTAAGAGTTCAGTGATATCTCCATTGCTAAATTTTCTGTGCATTATAACGGATCAAAATAATGCTGTACTGTATTCACTACCAAATAGTGAAAACAGTATTGAACACATTTGGAAATGTTCACCTAAAGTTCAAAGGTGATTTTGAATATGTATGTTAAACTTAAAAATTACAGTTTAACACATCTAATTTTTTTTTTCTTTAGCTTTATTAAATGTTTTACATATAAAAAATAAAGTACAATGAATATGTCCATTAAAACTTTATGAAACAAACATCAATACTTATATGTACATTTATTCGATAACCTTTATTTAATTAAAAGAATCTTTTTTGTATAAGAATTATAAAAAAAATTATTATAATTACATATTTAAACAGAATTTACATTTTGTTTCAGGTGTTTATTCTCAGAAGATGGAAAAAGTATTTTGTTAATATTAATTGTAAATTCATTACAAATTTATTCGATCAATGATAATGGTGTGAAATTAGTGAATCAGATTAGGGCTTCAGAACTAGCTAAAATTTTGCAAAACAATAATTTAGGTAAGTTTTTATTTTTGTTATGTCATACTATGTTTAATTTTCATATTATTTTGTGGAATTTAATTTTTTTAATAATTATTGTGATTAAAATTTTTTCTAACATTTCATTAATTAAATTTAATTGAAGACCTGTAATTTTGAAATGGTTTTTTTTATTATCATTTTAAATAAGAATTGTTAAAATTTAAAAAAAAAGAAATTAATATTATGACACTGGAAATAATATTATTTATTTTATTTCAGATTTTTCTGCTGGAAATCATATTACTCCATTAAAAGTATTTAATAATTCAATAATCATCTTACTGGATCAAAATACAATCTTAAATATAGAATGGAATTCGGCCAACTTACCAAATGTTAAATATTCAATTTATCTTAATCAGTATTTAGATATTCAGATCAACAAAGAATTTATTTTTGTTTTAAATAATACTGGTTTTATTAGTATCCTTTTGAAGCATACATAAAAAATTAAGTGAATTGAGTAAATTTTGAAAACAAACATCTTCATTTCAAAAAAAAAAGAAAAGTAGGTATTCACCTTAAAAAATTATTATATTACGATTTTGTAATATGAATTTTCTTAAATTGATTTAGATGGTTATGATATTCATTGTGGAAATAAATATCATGACTTGGAATTGCCAGTTGCCTCCATTGGGCAATGTTTTAAATTTTGTATTCATACAAATTCAAAATTAGTAGCTGTTGTCAATCAATTTCAGGAAACTATATTATTAGACATAAATAATTTTTTCACTGGTGAAACGGATAATGTAAATTCAGTTAAGGAAGTCAAAATAGATATAAAAAATTGGTCTTACAAGAGAAAGAAAAAAAAAAATTTGAAAATGGATTCATGTAAAATTATGGGAAAAGTTTCCTCTCCGCCTGGTGCATCTGTTTTATGTTTGCAGTTTTCGATAAAGGGTCTTTTTGTATTTTATAATGTCTCAGGTGAATCGGAGTGTACCTCTTTTACTGTGATTGATGAAAATTCTGCTGTACCTTTATATAACTTTAATGACTTAGTTGCATCAAAGGTCCTATGCGGAGGACCTTTGCCACTTGTGATGTCTGATTCCATATTATCACTTTGTTTGGGAGAATTATACAATGATTATTTTATAATTAAACTTTGTGAGACTGTACCCAATTTTAGCTTTTCAAAAGAAATGGAAAGAACTTTATTTAATCAACCGCGAACGGAAATTTTCAATTTTCACGTTTTATTTTTAAACATCATGCTCGATTTTCATTTAAACATTTTTTTATATAATTTAAATTTTTTGATAGCAAAAAAAAAAATGTTTCCCAAAATAAATATAAACTTTGAAAAAAGTTTATCCGAACAAAAAATTATGGAAAAATTATATAATTTGTTCAATCTGGTGTTAAAAGTTGAAGAAGAAGTGAAACCAGAGGGAATAAACGCCAAGCAAATAATGCTTACAAAATGTTTTTTGCATTCTATTCGTTTATTAGATCTTGTTCAGAATAAAATGAGACATATATTCGAAAGCGAATTATATTCTAATTTATTAAAACAAACTTTAACTTTGTTCGAAAGTATAAAAATAACGGATCCCCTGGAAAACAAATGGATTACTTGGAGATACATGTCCGATGCTGAAATCATTCAGGAAACCATGATTGCTGGAACCATTAGTTTGGCACATGTATTTTTGGTTACACATCGAGGATGGTCAGTAAATGAAGTTGAAAAGGAATTCATTAGAAAAGCTCATAAATATATCAGGATGCTAATTTCAAAAAATGAAGTGAAAAAAGCAGAAACATCTCTTTCTAATTTGGTAAGTAAGTAAATACCAATACAAAACTGTTAGAAATTTTATAATTGTTTCATCAAGTTTGAATTTTTCTTCTAGGGATTCGATTCATTAAAATACATGAAGTCACTGTGCCTGAGTACAAATAATATTTTATTGAGAGACAAAATAATCAAATATTTACATCAAAAGGGAGAATTTACCTTAAAAGAAATAATAATTTTTGATATAAATAAAAAAATTGAAAATGCGTTGGCTTTAGCTCCAAAACGGTGTTATAATTTTTGTCAGGAATCCACATTTTCAGGAAGAGTGAAAATAAATAATGTTACTTGCAAACATAATACTTATAATAATGTAATTGATTTGAAAACTTTTCTTGATTCCACACAAAATTGGTGCAGTATGGTTTTAACGGAAGTTTATTTTACTACAGGAGGTAAATTATAAATATAAAACAAAAAAATAAATTGTCACTTTAGTTACATTGAAGTAATGAGAAAAATTTTTTTTTCAGATTCTGTTTTGGAAAAATTTCTACAAAAAGAATTATGCTGGCGTTATTTAGTTGAAGTTAACCAAGTTAATTTGTTGCAGACCTGGATTAAAAATTTGAATAAACAAAATTTAGAAGAATCTTTTGAAGAATCGTCTGATCACGTGTTAAACAGTTTTATAACGGACAAAACGGACAAGTGGAATGTGACAGAAGACATGTTTAAATTTATTAACAACGTGAAATGCATGACATTAACGAAGAATATCGTTTTCGATAATTTTGCTTTTTATGGTTACTTTTCAGAACATGAAAAAAATAATTTAAAAAATATCGTAGGTAGAGTGGAAAATAATTCTGAACTTGGAAATATAAAAAAAATATTTTCAAAACCGACGTCTAATATAAAAATCCGTGATTTTGAAAATATGATTTTTCGTGATTGCATAAATTATTCTCTAAAACCTCTTATATTGATTTGCCTTAATGATAACAGCTCCTTAAGGAATTCAATAGAATTTGAAAAAGAATTTTCACATCAAAAAAATTGGATAGAAATTTGGTCCGTTTTTATTTCTTGGGATAAAAACAAAGACAATAAAATCCTTTTTAGAAATTCTGTTAAAGAAAGTTTAAAAGTTTACGATTGCAATCCAGAAGAAATGGAGTATATTAAAACTGCTTTAGTTCTTATAAACGAAAAGGTGTGAGAATCATCGTTATAAAAATAAAAAAATGGAATATGATGTTAATTAAATTTAATGTTAATTTATTTTAGAATTTAAAGGAAGCCTATGATTTATCAGAAATTCCTTTCATAAAGGAAAAATATCCAAAAATTTTTAAAAGGATCACAAAAGGATCTGATGTAACAATTTATGATTTACTGTTTAATTCCAATGTTCCTGTTGCAAAATTATTTTCTTGGCAATCATCTTGTTGGTAAAATTTTTATTACTGTGTATGATTTATATAATTGGAAGAGAAACCTTTCTTCTGGTTGTTTTAAATTGACTTTTTTTTTTTTTTATTTAAAGGTACAATAAAACATTATCACAATTAGAAGTGCTATTAGACTTTCCACATTTCAATCATCAAATTTTAGAGAAAAAATTTGGTTTCAAACAAAATTTGGGATACGTTTATTATTTAAAACAAGGAAGACCTAGTTTTGCGTGTAACTTCTTCGTGGTAGAAAGTCTTAGAACACATCGACGGTTGACAACTAAAATGTAAGTAATTAAAAAATACTTTAAGGATGAGAAAATGACTTCCGCGTGTAATTTTTTTAGTAATATTATATTAATAATTTTCAATTTTGAAAAATTACTTTTAACATAATAAAAGCAAATTTTATTTATTGTTAAAATGTAGGGTTAAACGTGTTTGTGGAGTCGCTCAAGGTTTGGCTTTAAGATATTGGAAAAACGAATCCCTCGGAGCATCTTGCATTGCTTTGATAGTAATGCTGGGCAATATTGGATTGGCAAATATTTTACGAATATACATGCAAGCCATCGAATGCATTTGCACTCAAATAAATAAATATACCGAATATCATATCAGTAAGTACAATGGATGTCCTTTTTTTTTTGAAGTTTTACATAGAATTTATTAAAATGAACTTTTTTAATTAGATACTCTCGTATGTGGAGTTGCTAAAAGGGAAATATCAAGCATTCAAGAAATGGCCACCGCTTTAGAAACGTCCGTTGCAAATGTTGTTAACAATGAAGAAGGCATCACACAACTTAAAAAATGGTGTTTGGCCGTTTGCTTTTGTAACATGCATAATTTATCTTTACCATCTTTACTTCTCAAGCAGTTGGCTAAAAATCATAATTGGTTTTCTTTTATAATTTGCCTAGACATATTTAAATATCCATACGAACAGGTAAAATTAAATTTTTTAAAACTTTATTTTAGGAAAGATCAAAAGTTTATTTATTTTTTTTTTTTACAGGCTATTGAATTGATTGAAGAAATCGAGTCTAAAGTTTTAAAGTCACACTTATTGAGAGCTTTGACGAGAACTACTTTAAAACTTTCAACATCATCTCCCAGCAAATCCGCACCGAAAATATTGTTGGAACCTAATAATAATGGAAAAGATGATTTTGAAGTCGTAATATATGTTTTTATAATAGTTTCATGTTTATTATTAACAATTGTATTGTTACTTTTGTTTATTAAAAAGTTTTTTTTTTTTTTTTTTTCTGGGTGCATTGAAATCAGATGAAGGATAGTAGAGATATTTTTCAAGCGTTTGTTACAAACGTTTATACCGAAGTTATTAACACAATACAAACATTTACTGATAAAAATATTGTTCTTCCTTGGAGTTGCGAACAAAATCCAGATCAGGACGTGTTATTGACTTTATTAAAATGCGAGAGTGAACCTGATGCGTGTAAATCATTACTTATATCTGCCATTGAACTTCAATCACCTGTTCTTGCCTTATTGGGAGCATGTTTTCAAGTAAAATAAATATTTATTACACAATTGAATTTATGATTAAAAATTTATTTATATGCGAAGCTCATTCTACAAAAAAAAAAAAACTAATAAAATTTCAGCCTGGAAATTATTTTTCAATTTTTATGGTTTGGTTTGTCTCGTCAATTCCAACGTCAATGCCGAGAATAAAGAGAAAAGAGGAAGGATCTCAGGTATTGGATCGACTTTGCTGTCCAAAAGATATGGAAACTTCATTCATTAATTTTTTCTGCACAGGATATTTTCAAACTTTTTTCAGGGGAATGAGTTTGTTTATGCCCGTAAGACATTTATTAAGTTCGTTTTAAATTTGCTACTTAAAAAAAATAATTAAGTTTTTTATGGTTGTTTTACAGGAAAATCCGTTTACTTTATTTTTAAATGCCGTAAATAAAGGCGTCGTCCTTTTAGATTTCGAAAGTTCTCTTCAATTAATAAAAGAATTCACATTTGAATTGGATCATTTTCGAAGTAGAGAACCCAACGATTTTTTTTCCAAATCTTGGATTTTAAATGCATTAACGCTGTGCATAGAAAATTTATTAGTGAGAAATGATTTACGAAATTCTATTAAAAAAAAATTTCTCGACACGTTGGCACAATCTGATTTTTCTACTTTCGATTCGAGTAAGTTGTAGAAAAAAAAATTTTTAAATAATATTTTCAAAAATGCAATTTACACTTATTTAAAATTTTAGATTTTCCAAATTATTTACTACTGTCTCAGCTATGCGGAATTTTAGAATCGAGCGAAACAAGAATTAATTTCATTGAACTTTACAAAATGACGAATGTGTCTGAAGAATCCATGAAAAGTCTTGATTCCTTATTGGAAAATCATCAATTCACTCAAGCTCTGGAAATATGTTCGCTATTGGGTTTGAACAAAGATAAAGTTATTATTTCAATGTGGAAATATCAAATCGAATCATGTATTAAGAAAAATGAGGGTGGTAATATAATAGAAGAAACATGGAGAGAAAGTTCTTTGGCTTTCAAAGATGAAAATGTTAATCCAAATTTGGCGGCTTTATTTTATTTTAACATGGCAAATAATTTTAAATCATCATCTTCAACCAGGTGTGAAAATCATTTTGTAATTTTTCATTAAATTTATACGTGTTATAATAAATAGGTAAAAAAAAAAAAAAAAAAAAAAAAAGAACTTAAAATTGATTTTTTGTAATTTTTATTACAGTTTGAAAAATAGATTTTTAGCATTGGAATATTGTCTTCATTGGAGACGATTAATGCCGGATGCGATACCATCGTCGTTTTTAGAAGAATCTGATTCGATCGAGCTGGAAAAATGGAAATGTTCAATCGAACCCGATTTCGACATAAAATTTTTAAAAAATTTCTATTCGATAAATTTTTCCTGTTCCGTTTTAAATATGTGGCCTTTGTTAAAAATTTTAGTACCTGCGCAAAGTCTCGATAAAATAAAAAACAATCGAGCGAATTTATTAATAAATATGTTTTTAAATCAAAACGATTTTCAACATGCTTATCGATTGGGATGTTTTTTTAAACATGACAATCAGGTCGTAATAATATTTGTGTTAGCCTAATCGATATTACAAGGTTTAATTATTTATTTTCATTTTTTTAATAGAATTTGTCGCTTATTACGTTGTGTTTAAAAGTTATTCACGATAAAATAAGTCCATCGGAATTACCGGAACAATCTGAATTATGCGAAGTTATTCTAACAACTTCGACAGAATTTCAATTTGAAAATCAATCAATATCATCATTAAAACAAAAAATTGACGATAAACTTCAAACTGTTTCTTTTTTAAATCGAGTGTATGATATTGTAGGAGCTGGGAAAAATCTTGTTAAAAAAATTCTCGTGTGTTATAGTCTCTCTGTTGAAATGGATTCAACATTTGAGGTTTTGATTTAAATTTCTTTTGATTAATTTAATGTCGTTTTTTTTAAAATATCATTTTATGTTTTTTTTTTTCAATAGGAAATAGCATGCGAAAGAGATTTTTTATCACTTTTTCAAAGGTCCGCGTTTTTAGAAGGAGCCAATAAACTTAAAATGGCGGATGATTTAATTACTTTAGCTAATTTATCCGATGTCGAAACGGCAAAATTTTTAAAAGATAAAATAGTTGCCGTTTTAATGGAGTATTGTTCTTCAGACTCGTTGATTTCTCCGTCATTATGGAATGTTTGTTTAGAATCTGATTTTCATTCTATTGTTAAATTAACAAACGATCCTTCATTATTGGGTTTCGAATTGCTTCGGTCATCGGTGACTTTACCCTGCTTTCCAGGTAATTTAATTAAGTTTAAGAATCGTCCATTTTATTAAATATCCTTCAATTATTTTTTTTTTGATTTTTAGCCATTGAAATATTAATAAAAGCTCATGATTGTTTCACGATGGCTTGCAATCTTGAAGGAATCGGTAAAGTTTTGAGAAAATGTAGAATTCTTGCTTCCATTGCATTCAAAGAAGGGGAGTGGCAACATTTGGTAACATTTTTTGGGTCAATCAAAGAAGTTTTGTTTTACCGCGAATGAAGAGAATGTAATTTGTTTTTATTTTTGTTTTAGATAAGGTTATTGTTCGGTATAAAAAGATTTATGGACATGAGTTACATTTTTCAAAAATTAAAAGAATCCGGTCAATTTGAACGACTTATTCATTTCAAAGGATTTCAAAAGGTTCTTTTTTTTTTGTAGTAGTGTTTTAAAAATAAAATTATTGTTTAATACGTATAAAGAATATAATTTCACACAATTCGATGGATTTTTATTAAATTTTTTTTAGATTCCCGGTTTACAAAAAGGAATACTGGACTATTTAAAAATGAATAAATTACAAGATTGGGATTTGGGAAAATCCATGGTCGCTCATTTTAATTTCTATTCGGAATTGGGAACGTTTCGTCAAAACGAAGGAGATTCCATCATATCGAAATTATTAAATTCAAAACAAATCGAAACGAATAAGAAACAGAATTTATTAAATTCCGCCATGGATCATTATTTTCACGCGGCGCAATTATTTCTTCAAGTAATAATAAATTTTTAAATTGATTAAAAATTAAACAAAGTTTTATATAATAATAAATTCAAATTAATCACGCAGGCGAATAAAATGAAGAAAGCTTTAAATGTTGCTTATAAAGCTCAAATGGTTGCAATGCAAATATCACTTTTAGATGGCGGACCACTTTTATTAAATTTAGAATTTGAATCTCGTTCGTATTTTCAAAATCTCATAATGGAAAATTTAACGTAATTTTTTTGCTTTCTTTTCCTGTTTTTTTTCGATTTCGATGAATTAAAATTAATTAATATGTATGTATAATGAATTTTAGGGTAGCACAAACGATTCTCATTTGTAGAGCATATAATTTAGAACCGAATTGGGAAGAGATCATATACGAACGTTGTTTGTTAAAAGAAGATAAAATATTTTGTTCAGATCTTTGGTCGGTTTTTATTTTATCACCTCAATTAATTAAAAATCGTTCACTGAGGTAAATTATTATTTAATGAGTAGTGTGGAAAAAAAACGCCATTGAAATCAATGTAATGATATTATTATTATTTAAAGAAAATAATGATGATTATGGTAAAATGATTATGAATTCGTATCGCGTTTTATTTTATATTCTCTGTTAATATTTAATAAGGATTTCCTGTAATAATAATATCATTATTCGTCATGTGTTTAGTTTTTCCCCCTAATTGACAAGAAGTAAATAAAAAAAAAAATTGAATAATAATGATTGAAGTAATTATTTCTCAGTAAATACAAAAATTTGTTGTTTTCCTTCATTTCTTTTTCTCACGTCATTAAATTTGACATAATTTGATTATTATTTATTTCAGATATGATTTAGAACAAATAAAAAATGTTAAGGGAAAAGAAAAAATAAAACACCTGACTATGATTGAATCGAGTCAATCATTTTCACCTTTACATATGGATTTATGTAAAACGGATAATTATTTAGATTTTTATTTTTAAATATAATTTATGTAAATAATTTTTTTTTTTTTGTAATAAATATTACCATTAATCCGTTGTTTAATCGTTTTTAATGTTCCAATGTTATTTAAAAAAAAAAAAAAAAAAAAAGATTTAAATTTAATAGATATGAAAAATAATAAATAAGATATAATATGAAAACATGAAACTATTAAAATTGATATCTTAAAACTTGAATTAAGTTTCATTTTTAAAAAAAAAAAATATTTCTAATATTATATTATCATCATCATCATCATCATCAATTATTCGAATTCGTTTAATTTTATTTTATTTAAAATGTAAATTTTTAATAGAAAGTTTTTAAAATTATTTACGTTAAAACTTGATTTTATTTTAATTTTTAATCGATGATTTTCACTCGACGCCATTTTGAAATTCATGTAATAAAAATTTTTAAGTTTTTATGTTTTAAATATTAATTAAATTCATTTACAAAAAGAACAACAACAAACGCGCATAATAAAATTTTTTTTTTAGTTTTTAAAAATGTTTAAAAACATTTAGTGACGGATTTTTTAATTATTATTTCAATCTCCTTAATTTTGACACATAAAATCGTGAATAATAATAATAATAATAATTAATGTTAAACGATTAATAATTCATTTGTGTTAAAACATGTTTTGTTTTTTTTTTTTTTTTTGCGTTATATAATTTGAATTTAATCTCATATTTAAAAAACTTTTTCTTTTTTTAACGGAAATTTTATTTTTAAAAAAAAAAAGTTTTTTTATATTAATACAATTGTGGAAGAAGAAGAAGAAAAAAACGTTAAAAACATAATAATAATAATAATAATTATTTGAAAAAAAAAATTAATTTTCCCCCACCACCATAGCAATTGTCAATTCGTTGATGACGTATAAACTTCAAGACCACTTCTTTCTGGCCCGTGTTCAGAACGTTTAGTCAACATTTAAACACGAACGATACCAACAAAAAAATAGTTTTTAATTTAATTTAATTTTATTTTATTTTATAACAAAATTATTTATTTATTTTTATTATTATCTTTTGTATTTTGTGTTTTTTTTTATTGTTAATATTATTTAAAAAAAAAAAAAAAAAAAATTATAGAGAAGAAAATGGGTGATAGCGACTGGGGATACACACAAGAAAATGGTAAGTTTTTTTTTTTTTCAATTTTTTTTGAATTTTTTTTTTTTTTTTAACGGAATAATTGAAAGAAAAAAAGGAAAAAAAAACCTCCTTAATCTTATCAATTGTCTTTATTTCTTACTTTTAATTTTAATTTGAATACGTTTTTTCAAAAAGAAAAAGAAATTTTATTTAAAAAAACGATAGCCGAAAAGATAATAATAATAATAATTAATAGATAAAGTAATGATGATGATGATAATAATAATAATAGCATAAATAAAAAATTTTTGTAAACGTAATAATTTTGACCTTGAATATTTTAAAGTGTATTTTTTTTTTTTTTTTTTTTTTTTAAATGTATGTAACTGCATGCTAATCTCCAAACGATTATAAATATAGAACTCGAGTTAAAAATATTTGTCTGTGTCTGTGTATATGTTCGGTAAAATGGCGGCAAAAAAGAAAAAAAAAAAAATGGATTCCGATTTTTACGCCGGCGGGGGAGAAATTTAAGTTAAATCGTTTAAGAATGATTATCATTATTATTATTATCACGTAATGTTTTTTTTTGTATAAATATGAAAATAATGAAATGTAATAAGTGATTTTTGAATAATAATTTACTTGAAAATCTTGGTTATTGTATGAGTCCTTGCCCTAATATTCAATTTACATTATAAAAAACGGCAACGACCGTTAAATTTCATTATTATTATTATTATTATTATTGCAAAATAATTCGTACCTGTTGTTCCTCCACCTCCACCTCCTCCTCCTACTACTACTCTCTACAAATCTTTACCCCTCGTTTTATAATACAAAGAAATTAATTGTTTCGAAGTAATTTTTTTTTTAATGCTCGTTTTGTACGACATGGGGGGAAGGGGAGTCCTTGCCCCCCCCCGTCCCCCGGGCCGGTCACGATCAAAATTTGTTTAATCCGCGTCATCTTTTTTTATCAAGCGTGTTTTGCCAATAATGAACATCCGCTAATTAATTTTTATTTATTATTTCCTTAAATTTTTTACGTTTTCTATTTATTTTCTTCTCCCATTTTTTGTTGTTTTTATTATTATTATTATCATTATTATTATTATTATACGTTTGAATTTTTATGTTTTTCAAGGATTTGTTTTTAAAAGAAAAAAAAAAAAAAAGTTTTCAAAACTAAAGTTTACGTTTGTTCGTTACGAATTTTTTTCCTATTTATTAGCGACATTAAACCGACATTTTAGTTTCAATAATAATAATAATAATAATTAATGATTTTCGATTATGTATATATTTTGATATGTCTTGTCCACTTTAAATAAGATTAATAATTATAAATAAAAGTAAATAATTTAATAACGTTTTGAAAACTTTTGAATTTATATATAAAAATGTAACCAGGGTTACAGGGTAAATGTTTTGTCGATGATTACATATTTGCGACAAAAACATGATAAAATGTTTTTTTTTTTTTACATTTTTGTTTATTTTAATTAATTAATATTATAAATGTGACAAAAAAAAACAACATTATGTGAAAATGTAAATTCAAATACGATAATAATAATGATAATAATAATAATAATAAATAATTAGTAATGATGATGACACGTTCAATTTTTTTGTTTTGATTACTTATATTTGGTAAGATTAATAATTTTTTTTTTTTTGTTTTTTTTGTTGTTGTTGTTGTTGTTGTTGTTAAAAATTATGTTTTGTAATTACAAAGTAGATAGATAAAGTTTACGTCAAAACATGTTTTTTTTTTTTTTTTTTTTTTTGTTATATTCGGGTTTATATACAAAGTAGTTAATGATAATTGGATTTAATTAAAAAAAATGTTCATCTCGATCGTCCACACATTTGAGTGAATTTTATTTTCAGGAATAACTTTTTTTTTTTGTTTACAATGGCTCAAGATTACAGATTGATTTGGATCCGTGAAAAAGTTTTGACGTTTTTAAACGAAGAAAATTCTTCGGAACTTTTTGACGAATTGCTATTAGAAGATAATGGAAAAGTAGAAGATAATCTTGTTGCTTTTTTAAACGATGAAATATTCGGACCCCAAGATTTACATAAAAGACTTTGTTTTTTTTATAAAACATATTATGATAAAATTATAGAAGAAGAAATTACCATTAAAGAAGAAATAGTTGAAGAAATTGAAGAAGAAACTAATGACGTTCCAGAAGTTCATGAAAAAAAAAAGACCGGTAAATCTGGTAATAAAACTTCGCCTCGTAAGAAAAAAGAAAAACAGGGTGGGAAAAAATCGGCAGAACCTTCTCCGCCTCCTCCTAAAACGACAAGTGCTTCACCGGAAGAAACTGAAAATGCTGAATCGCCCGATGAAAATACTCAAACGGCGGCTCAAAACGATTCGGAAAGTCCAAAACAAATATTAGAAACCTCTACTCAAACAACTACTAAGGGAAAACACAAACCTAAAAAAGTTAAACATAAAGGTCCGAAAGGGAAGAAAGACAGTCCAGTAACTGCTATTGAAAATACGGTTGAAGAAGTTGAGGAAGAAAAACCTTACATTTTGGTAAATAAAATCGTCGAGAGGGTCGTACAAGCTCCCCGAATAAATGTTCATTTCGGTTACTTGGAAGGAGAATCCACTCCTCAAAATCACAGATTAGTTTTTTTTTTACGACAAAGAGAACAATCCGTCATCAATTTCGAAAACTACGAAAGAGCTTGTTCCATCATGCCGAGTATTTTTTTAGTAGGGTCAACTAGAGGACAACACTTGAGCAGTGCTAATAAAATTGTCAAAAGTGTATTCATACCATTGGTGGAAAAACAATTTCGCGAACCGGAATTGATAATGGCCGCCGTGCAACCGGGAAGAAAAAAATCTCAACTCACGGATGAAGAAGATGAAAAAGATGACGGAAACGAACATGCTTTCGGAGGAGGAACCGCAATAAACGTTAATTTTTTAAGGCCTTCCGATTATCGAAGACTTTCTGTGAACGTCAAAAAACTCGAAGAAGATGAAGTAATGCGATCGGTATTTTTAAAAGAGCCAGAAATAAAAAAAAGCCCTTCGGACATACTTTCAAAAGCTTCTGAAGAAAAAAAAAAGACTCATATAAAAAAAGAAGAATTGCCGCAAGAGAAAATGTCAACGAAATTAGATTTAATCGAAGATTTAGAAATGCTGTCTCAGAACATAAGTTGGACGCAAGAGCATTTAAAGGAAGTCGTTTTGCTCGAACTTCCCGATGTCGAATGGGAAACCAAATGCAAGGAAGATTTAATATCGGATCCCGCGGCTTTGTCCGCAATGGAACAAGCGGCAATCACGTGGGAAAAACTAATAAGTCAAACGATGAATTTATACCTGGCGAAAAAACCGGATGATATAAATCCAATTTCGGAATATGATTTTTGGCACGATAGAGAAGCAGGACTCAGTTTATTGGTAGAACAAATCAAAGCCAAACCCGTGGCAAGCGTTATGAGCACTCTGAGATTAGCCGGATCTAAAAACATAGTTGATTTAAGCGTGGCAGAAACGGAATTGTTGAAACATTATGCGGAGGCGAGAGACAACGTTAAATTTCTATTGACCATTTTGCGACATTTGAAAACCATTACGTATTCTTATTCGTATAGAGCAATTCAATTAACTCTTCCTGGCCTTATCGACGGCCTACACATGATGTGGATTCTATCAAAATATTACAATTCGGATGAGATAATGGTTTCTTTTATAAGTCGAATATCCGTGAACCTTTGTCAAAAAGTTTCGAGCGCATTGAAACCCGCCACAATATTTAAGAGTCCTCTCGATATTATTTTAATAAAAACAAAAGAAGCCGCGAGCATGTTGAAACAGTGGAAAATTAGCTACCTGAAAACGAGAAAAAAAATAGAAATCGTCGGAAGGGGTCAAAGGTGGGAATTCGATCAGAAAAAACTATTCTTCGAATCCGAGTACGTGGCATCCGTATGCGAAGACTTGTATAATGTTGCTTTGGTGATTCAGCAATTTAAAAAAATTTTCGGTCCGAAACTTAAATCGATCATAAGCGATCCGGGACAAATCGATGCCGTCATTAAAAGAGTCGAAAATCTTTTGACGTCAATTGAAACGGCGGATTTTGATATTTACAAACCGACTTGTAAAGAAAATTGGGATTCCATCGTTGAGTCGTTTTATAAAGAAGTTAGACAGTTGGAAAAAGAAGCCAAAATTTTCATTGACGAATCCTTTAAAATACTGAGGTCCTCCGAAGAAGCGTTAGAAATGCTAATAAAATTCAAACATTTAAAAACTCGTAATTCCATTCAAGAACAACTCATGACGAAATTTGACGTCATAATGCAACAGTTCAGCAAAGAAATATCCATAATTGAGTATTTGTTTAACAGAGGTAAAAAAAAACCTCCCATTCTCAGGTATTTGCCACCGGAAAGCGGAGCCATATTTTGGGAAAGGCAATTATTCATGCGTTTAAAAAAACCCATTCTGGCATATCAAAAAATAAAAGAGCTCGAAAATTCGGAATTGAAAGAAAGAGCTTTCGAAGAGTATTTAAAATTGGCCAAACGCATGAAAGCATTCGAAGAATCTAAATTTGAAGCTTGGTGTGCAAACGCTTTGCCCGTTTGCGAAGTTGCTTTGAAACGCTCCGTTTTGAAATTAGATCATTACAAAAGGCCTTTGGACCAAGTTAAAAAAGATTTCAAGAAAAAAAATCTCATGACAATAACTCGGCATTTCAACGAAAAAAAATTTCAAGATGGAACAGCGAGCATGAGATCGGTATTGTCGCAGGAAAACGCTTCCCAAAAATCAATTGAATTTTCTCAACAGAATTTTGCATTGTCTAAAATGTCCGCAAGTCGTATCGTTATTCACGGAGGCACAGGGGGGAGCTACGGTTTAACAGCTAAAAGTTCGAGTAAAAGAAAATCAAGTTTGGTTTTACCACCCATACACACAAATAGTTTATCTTCGGCCATGATAAAAAAATTCACCCCTCAAATGACTTGGGGAGAATTTGTTAACGATAGTATATTGGTTGATTTTCATTTGAGATTTCAAGTTAATTTTGCCGACCAAGTTTTTGACATAATAGCGGAAGCGGAATTGATGGAATATTTAGGGTATCAAATACCTAATTCGATAAAAAGCGTTTCAATTCAAAAAGATCGTTTGCAGTGGGATCTTTTGGCCGTTAAAAAAATGGTGAACGATTACAACGAAGCCGTCGACGGTTTGAGTTTGTCGGAGCTTCAATTCACAAAAGAAATACTCAAGGATGTCGAAAGACAAATACAGCCGGGATTAACGAGATTTAATTGGAATTCGTTAGGGATTCAAGAATACGTGGAAGGTTGCGAAAGAACATTGAAAAACCTCACGACGACAGCCAAACAAATCATAAGGATAGAAAAAGAAATCGAATCGAAAATATCATGTTTGGAACAATTCAATTTGTTTTCCGGAACGAAACCGAGCGATAGTTTGAGACGTTTAGAGTGTAAAGAATTTTTCACAGACATGGAACAATCGAGAATAAAAACGGTGAACGACATGCTTCTCATTTACAACGGAGTCGGACCCATATTAATGAAATTGGAAAGTCTCGTTCATCACACGTCTTCCGGTGCTTCACCTTTCATGACACTTTTTTACGCATCCTGGGAGAAAAAAATTTTTTCCAATTTACTCGAAATGACTGTGAGAAATTTAATTGATTTCGATAAGGCTTTAAACACTAAGGAGGCCATGTTTGAAATAGCTGTCGTTTTGGCCGTTCCGGATGTTATTGTGAGACCTTCGTCTCCGGAAGTTCACAATATTATAATTCACAACGTTAAAGATTTCATGGGCAAGTTAAAATTGTTTCCCAGGTGGATGGACGGCACGTGCGTGCCTTGCGAACCTCAAAAACAAGCCGACTCCGATGATTATTATTTATTTTCTTTTTTCGAAGACGTCGTTCAAATTCAATTGGTTAACGATTTGATAACTAAAATCCAGGACACCGTTTTACGCATTGTGTCCGATTGCGTGAGAAGGTTGATGCGATGGAGAAAATATCGAAATCTTTGGATATATGATAAAAATTTAACTTGCGATAAATTTTGTTCGAAAAATCCGGTACTATCGGATTACGATGAAAAGTTCAGCTTTTACGCACAAGTCAGTTCGGAATTGACCGAACTCGTTCCGTACGAGGACGTGTATTGCGTGAGATTAAATCTTCAGCCGATAATCGACAGCGTTCAAAACTATTGCATAGGATGGAAAGAAGCTTTAGGGATTAGATTATCGGAAAATACGAGGGAAGCCATGAATAATTTTCAAAAATTTATAAATGACTTGAGACAAAATCTAAATCAAAAAATAACATCTTTGGATTCGTTTAAATCAACTTTAAAGACAGTGACCAACATTCAAAAATCTACCGTGTCCGCGGAAATCCAATACAAAGAATTTCAAGAAAGGTATCACATTCTTAAACTTCATAAAATTGAAGTGGCAGAAGAAGATGTTCAAATGTCTATCACGTTGGAAGAAGAATGGAAAAATTTATACATATCAGCTTTATACAGGGCTCAAACGTTTCAAGCAACGAAAGAAAGATTTTCGCTTCTCACCCAGGATCAAATATCAGATTTTATGATAGTCGTAAATGAACTCGTAACAAAATTTTACGCGGAAGGCCCGGGAACGTTTTACAATGATCTCGATCAGGGTGTCATCGTGACGGAAGAATATGAAAAACTATTCAACGACTTCGAAGAGAGAAAAAAAGAATTGACTCTAGCGGAAACTCTGTTCGATTTACCTTCCGGCGATTATCATAATTTTATAAAAGCCAAAGCAGAATTTGAAGGTTTGAAAAATATTTTCCTCATTTACAAAAATCAAAAATTGGCTCAGGAACAATGGGCAAAAACTCTATGGGTAAATTTGAATCCGAGCACTTTGGTCGACGGCATGGAAAATTTTATGAAAGATTTTAAAAAGCTCAAAAAGGATTTGAGGCAGTCTCCCGTCGGTTCGGCCATAGAACAAAAAATGAAAGAATTTAAAGATACCATACCACTGATGGTCGAACTTAAAAATGAAGCTTTGCGTGATAGACATTGGAAACTCCTTATGGAAAAAACTGGACAAGTTTTCGATATGTCTCCCGATCGTTTTACTTTGGAAAACATGTTCACGATGGAAATTCACAGGTATACCGATATCGTTGAAGAAATAATAGCAGCCGCCGTACGAGAATTGTCCATTGAAAAAGGTGTGAAAGAAATTCAGGAAATTTGGAAAAATATGGCTTTCACTATTTTACCTCATTTTAAAGGAATCGAAGACAGAGGTTTTGTTTTGGGTTCCGTTGATGAAATAATGCTCGTGCTGGAAGATAACGCCATGAATTTACAAAGCATGGCCACCTCTCAGTTTATCGGACCCTTTCTCGGCGCGGTTCAAAAATTAGAAAAAAGTTTAGCCGTCATCGCCGAAGTGATTGAAGTCTGGATACAAACTCAGAGGAAGTGGATGTATTTGGAGGGGATTTTCGTCGGGGGCGATATTAGATTTCAAATTCCTGACGAGGCAAAAAAATTTGACGACCTTGATAAATCGTTCAGGAGAATCATGGTCGAGGCTTATAAGAGACCAAACGTGAGAGAATGTTGCGAAGTTAGCGGACGACTTCCTGAATTAATGGCACTCGGTTTGGGTCTTGAAAAATGTCAAAAATCCCTTAACGAGTATTTAGATTCTAAGAGGAATGCTTTTGCTAGATTCTTTTTCCTGTCGGATGATGAGCTTTTATCCATATTGGGAAGCACAGATGCAACGTGCATTCAAGAACACATGGTGAAAATATTTGACAACATTGGGTCTTTGAAATTCGAGTCTCGGCCTCCCGACAAAATCGTGGCTTTGGCAATGATTTCTTGCGAAAAAGAAATACTGGAATTTCGAAACTACGTTTTGGCGGAGGGACGAATAGAAGACTGGATGAATGACATTTTAGCGGAAATGCGTAAATCCAATCGTTATATAACTAAAAAATCTATTTACGACTACGGGAAAACCAGGAGGCCGAGGACGGAATGGATGCTCAATTATCAAGGAATGGTTTGCCTGGCGGCTAGTCAGGTGTGGTGGACTGCCGAAGTGGAAAATGTATTTTATAAAATTTCAACAGGAAATCACAAGGCGATGAAAATTTATTTGGAACAATTGAACGGACAGCTGGACGAATTAGTGGTTCGAATCAGAGGAGAATTGACGAAAAATGAGAGGAAAAAATTTAACACGGTTTTAATAATAGATGTTCACTCGCGAGATATCATCGAGGATTTTGTACGGGATAACATAACCGACTCTCAAGAATTCGAATGGGAAAGTCAATTGCGTTTTTATTGGATAAAGGAAGCGGATAATTTGATGGTGAAACAATGCACCGGAATTTTCGAGTACGGGTACGAATACATGGGATTAAATGGACGGCTCGTCATAACACCTCTCACCGATCGCATATACCTCACGATCACTCAAGCGTTGTCAATGCAGCTCGGAGGTGCTCCGGCTGGTCCCGCAGGAACCGGAAAAACGGAAACGACGAAAGATTTAGCAAAAGCACTGGGTTTGCTATGCATGGTCACGAATTGCGGTGAAGGAATGGACCACAAGGCTTTTGGAAAAATTTTAAACGGATTATGCCAATGCGGAGCTTGGGGGTGCTTTGACGAATTCAATAGAATCGACATTTCCGTACTTTCGGTTATTTCAACGCAATTGCAAACCATTCGCAACGCGAAGTTGCTCAAGTTAAAAAAATTCAATTTTGAAAATCAAGAAATTACTTTGGATTCTAAAGTTGGAATATTCGTTACCATGAATCCGGGGTACGCAGGTAGAACGGAATTACCCGAATCAGTTAAAGCTCTTTTCCGACCCGTGGTTTGCATAGTTCCAGATTTGGAAATGATATGTCTCATAATGCTTTTTTCCGAAGGATTTTTAGAAGCGAAAATTTTAGCTAAAAAAATGACCGTTTTATATAAGCTGGCTCAAGAGCAGTTGTCAAAACAATCGCATTACGATTTCGGTTTAAGAGCTTTAAAATCCGTGCTCGTTATGGCGGGAGAATTAAAGCGCGGAGCTCAAGAGTTACCAGAGGACGTCGTGCTCATGAGAGCTTTGAGAGATATGAACCTTCCCAAGTTTATTTTCGATGATGTGCCTTTATTTTTGGGCTTGATAACGGACTTGTTTCCCGGATTAGAGTGTCCGAGAGTTGGATATCCCAATTTCAATGCTGCCGTTGAGAAGGCTCTTAGAGAAGACAACTACGAAATTCTACCTGATCAGATGGATAAAGTGGTGCAAATGTACGAAACGATGATGACGCGTCATTCAACGATGATAGTTGGACCTACGGGAGGGGGAAAGACCGTTGTCATTCAAACCTTGCAAAAAGCTCAAACGGCTCTCGATCTTCCTACCAAATTGTACGTGCTAAATCCTAAAGCTTGTTCCGTGACCGAACTCTACGGTGTTTTAGACCCGGTTACACGTGATTGGACGGACGGTTTACTTTCTTGCATATTTAGAGAAATAAACAAACCCATTGAGAACCCGGAACGACGCTACATACTTTTCGACGGAGATGTCGATGCCCTGTGGATTGAAAATATGAACTCCGTCATGGACGATAATAAACTTTTAACTTTAGCCAATGGAGAGCGAATCAGACTTCTTCCTCATTGTGCTCTTCTTTTCGAGGTGGGGGATTTAAGTTACGCGTCTCCGGCCACGGTTTCTCGCGCCGGTATGGTGTACGTCGACCCGAAAAATTTGGGCTATCTTCCCTACTGGAACAAATGGGTGAATATTAGAAAAGGCACGGAGGATCACAAAGAAAAATTACATGATGTTTTTCAAAAAATAGCAGTGCCAACGTTAAAATACGTACTTGAAGGTATACTGGGGGCTCAAGCAGTGAAACCTTTGAAACTCATCATTCATCAAACGGCGCTTAACATGATTGTTCAATTATGCAACATGTTAGATTCACTCATACCGGGTCAGGCGGAAGAAAGTAAGGAATGGCCTGAGGAAGTCACCGAAGCAGTTTTCATAGAGAGCGTATATTGTTCCTTGGGGGCTGCCATTGTAGTTGATAACAGATCAGAATTTGATGAATTCGTTAAGAAATGCACCGGCATGGTAATTATAGATGATTCGGAAAATAAAAAAGCTTCCCTGACAATGCTTCCAAGTGATTTTCCCACGCTCTATCATTATTTTGTAAATATAACCGATCAGGAATGGGTGGCTTGGAAGTGGATCGTTCCCGAATACGTTCACGATCCGCTGAAAAACTTCAGTGAAATTTTAGTGCCAACAATAGATACTTGCAGAACCGATTGGTTGTTGGAGCTCATGAATAAAATAGGGAGACCAGTAGTTTTGGTCGGCGAAACCGGAACGTGTAAAACTGCCATCATACAAGATTTTCTCAGAAGGCTTTCTTCCGAGTATTTCCTTCAGCTAAACGTGAATTTTTCCTCTCGGACCAATTCTATGGACGTTCAAAAAAACATTGAGTCCGCCGTAGAAAAGCGAACAAAAGATATATACGGTCCGCCCATTGGTAAAAAGTTCATAGTGTTCATCGATGATTTGAACATGCCTCAAGTGGACGATTACGGCACTCAACAACCAATTGCTCTTTTGAAACTTCTTTTCGAAAGGGGAGGTTTTTACGATCGTGGAAAAGAGCTCAATTGGAAACAAATAAAAGACACTTGCTTTTTGGCTGCCATGGGTAAAGCGGGAGGGGGAAGAAACGAAGTTGATCCTCGGTTTATTTCCATGTTTTCGGTGTTCAATTTAACTTTTCCTTCGGACGAAACGGTCACGTACATATACCGATCCATTTTGAGCGGTCATTGCTTGAATTTATCTGAAGAGATTCAAGAGGTCATTCCCACACTAATTGAAATGACGTTAAATCTGTACAAAGCCATAATCATTGAATTGCCTCCGACTCCGTCGAAATTTCACTACATATTCAATTTAAGGGATTTATCCAGGATTATCGCGGGCGTGTGTCAAATTCAAAACGTTTTTTTCCAAACTCAAGTGCATGTGGTGAGAGTTTGGAGAAATGAATTTTCCAGAGTTATTTGCGACCGTCTCATTAATACCACCGATCAAGAACTGGTAAAGGGAAAAATTTTAAATGAAATAGAAAAACATTTTGAAGACAATCCGGAACTTATCGAGCTTGTCATGAGAGAACCTTTGTTGTTTGGAGATTATCGAAACGCGTGTGCCGGAGGAGACGAAGAACGTTACTACGAAGATCTTTTAGACTATGACGCTGTGTATTTTCTATTTCAAGAAATATTAGCAGAGTTTTGCGAAAAGTACGGTAAAGTAGAATTGGTGCTTTTTGACGATGCTTTGGAGCATTTAACTAGAATCCACAGAGTTCTTCGTATGAATCGAGGACACATGATGATCATCGGAGTGGGAGGTAGCGGAAAACAGAGTTTGACTCGGTTGGCGTCATTTGCGGCTGGCTGTGTTGTTTTTGAAATTACTTTGAGTCGTGGTTACAATGAAAATAATTTCAAAGAAGACTTGAAAAAACTTTTCAATCAAATCGGAGTGGAAAGAAAACCGACGGTGTTTCTATTTTCGGCTTCTCAAATAGCCGAGGAAGGATTTTTAGAGATAATAAATAATATACTCGCCGTGGGAATGACTCCGGCTCTTTTCACGGATGAGGAAAGAGATGGAATTATAAATAGTGTGCGGGGTTTTGCTAAGGATGCGGGTTTCGGCGTCGGAAAAGAAGAAGTTTGGAATTATTTCAAAAAGAAATGCATGCAAAACCTGCACGTTGTCTTATCCATGTCTCCCGGTGGCGACAGTCTAAGGACCAGATGTCGAAATTTTCCAGGTCTCGTTAATAACACGACAATTAATTGGGTGTTTCCTTGGCCCTTACAAGCATTGAATGCCGTGGCCAAAGTCTTTTTAGGTGAAAATTCTAATCTTCCCGAAGAACACCGGGAAAATATTATAGCCCACGTAGTGTACGTTCATTCATCGCTAGGAAAATACACCACGGATTTTCTCACTCAGCTTAGACGCAAGAACCATGTCACTCCAAGACACTACTTAGACTTTATATCCACTTATTTAGTTTTGTTGGAGCAGAAAAATCAATTCATCGTAGCACAATGCGAGAGATTAGAAGGTGGTATGTTGAAAATTGCCGAAGCAAGCGTTCAATTGGCAGAATTAAATGCGAAATTGGAAATTCAACAAGTGGCCGTGTCGAAAAAAACATCCGGTTGCGAAGAGCTTTTAGCCAGAATATCAAGTGCGACAGAAATAGCAAACGAAAAAAAAAACGATGTGATAACTAAAAAGCTCGAAATAGAGGAACAGGAAAAAATAATCATGTCTGAAAAAACGGAGGCTCAAGAAATATTAGATGCCGCTTTACCCGCTCTGGAAATTGCCAGAGCCGCTTTAAGCGATCTTGATAAATCCGACATAACGGAAATCCGTTCCTTTGCGACACCGCCCCAAGCGGTACAAATTGTTTGCGAATGCGTTCTAATATTGATGGGAGTTAAAGAAATCTCGTGGAAATCGGCCAAAGGAGTCATGGCGGATCCGGGATTTTTATACCGACTCAAAGAAATGAATTGCGATTTGATAACGCAAAATCAACAGAAAACTTGTAAAGCTCACGCAAAGGGTTTGCCACCGGATTTAAAAGCGGTCAGCAAAGCTGGTCACGGATTAATGATGTTCGTAGACGCGGTTTTGGGCTACTGTGCCGTATTTAAAGAAGTTAAACCGAAAAAAGAAAAAGTCGAACAATTGGAAATAGAGTATGAAAAATCTGAAAAGTATCTTAAAAAGTTAATGGGCGAAATTGCGAAAATTGAAGAGCAGTTGGAAGTGTTAAACGAGCATTACATGAAAGCAATGGGAGAGCGTCAAATCCTACAAGAGGAAACGGACTTGATGATGAAACGATTAACGGCCGCGGATAAATTAATAAGCGGATTAAGCTCGGAAAATACTCGTTGGTCGAACGAACTTGATCAACTTCACATAGAAAAAGAACAATTGATTGGTAACTGCCTTTTATCCGCGTCTTTTCTCAGCTACGTCGGTCCCTTTAGCTACGAATTTCGTAAAGCCATGATTTACGATGACTGGAAAAATAGTTTGATAGAAAAAGAGTTGCCCGTAACCCTTTCTTACAGGCTGGAAACATCGTTGTCGGATGATGTTGAAATCAGTAAGTGGAATTCGGAAGGGCTTCCTCCGGATGAATTGTCCGTTCAAAATGGTATTTTAACCCTTCGAGGTTCCAGGTTTCCCGCTTGCATTGATCCCCAACAGCAAGCTCTTAACTGGATAAAAAAAAAAGAAGAAAAACATTTAAAAATTTCATCATTTAACGATGCTGATTTTTTAAAACATTTGGAAATGGCCATTAAATACGGGTTTCCATTCCTGTTTCAAGACGTTGATGACTACATCGATCCCGTCATTGATAACGTTTTAGAAAAAAAATGGAAAACGGTTACCGGAAGAGTATATGTTAATTTAGGCGATAAAGAAGTCGATATAGATCCAAAGTTTCGCTTGTACTTAACAACTAAACTCGCGAACCCGGGATGGGCCCCCTCAGTCTACACTAAAGCCATCGTTATAAACTATTCGGTCACCAATTCCGGTTTGGAAGATCAATTGTTGAGCGTCGTGGTGAGACACGAAAGGCCGGATTTAGAGGAACAACGAGAAAATCTCATAGAAGAAACTTTTGTCAATAAAAATCTTTTGAAAAGTTTAGAGGATTCGCTTCTTCGCGAGTTATCAACGTCGACGGGAAACATGCTGGACAACGAAGAGCTCGTCGAAACATTAGAACACACGAAATCAAAAGCGAGCGAAGTCACGGCAAAACTTAAATTAGCTGAAGTCACTTCAATAGACATTGATAAACTTCGAAACGGTTACAGGTCGGTGGCCAAAAGGGGTGCCGTATTATTTTTCCTTCTGTCGGACATGGCTGGAGTCAATCCGATGTATCAATATTCCCTGAATTCTTATTTGAAAGTTTTCTCACATTCCTTGAGCAGAGCTCATCTCGATGCGATGCTATCCCGTAGATTAAAAAATATAATAAAAACTCTAACGAAAAACGTTTACGATTACGGGTGCACCGGCATTTTCGAAAAGCACAAACTCTTGTTTTCATTTCAAATGACCATGAAGTTGGAACTGAGCGAAGGACGGGTCAATCAGGATCAGCTTAATTTTTTCATAAAGGGAAATGTTTCTCTGGAAAAATCACCGAAAAAAAATCCGACCAAGTGGCTTTCGTCTCAGGGATGGGAAGATATAATTAAGCTTGCCACGGATTTCCCCGAAAAGTTTGCCTCGCTACCCACCGACATTGAAGAAAATAACTCTTTGTGGAAGGATTGGTGCGATTTAGATATCCCCGAAGCAGTCCCATTCCCCAATGGGTATTCAAAAAAAATAACTCCTTTTGAGCGGTTAATGTTCGTTCGGTGTTTTCGAGTCGATAGAATATATAGATGTGTGGTGAATTTTATAACGACCGCCATGGGTGAAGAATTCGTTACCCCGCCTGTTATTAGTTTGGATGACATTTTCGATCAGAGCTCGCCTTTAATGCCCGTCGTGTTCATACTCAGTCCGGGATCGGATCCTACGAGCGAATTAATGAAACTTGCCGATAGGTGTGCAATGGGAGGAGGAAAATTTAAATATTTATCACTCGGGCAGGGTCAGGAGGCGACGGCTCTTTCCTTTTTAAACGTAGCCGTTAATCGTGGGCAATGGTTGATGCTCCAAAATTGTCATCTCCTCATACCCTTTGTTCGAATCGTTGAAAAAGACCTTGAAAAAGTCACAAAACCTCATCCGGATTTCCGGTTATGGCTGACTACCGACGCGACCCCATCTTTTCCGATAGGAATTTTGCAGAGATCTTTGAAAGTTGTGACGGAGGCTCCGAACGGTTTAAAATTAAACTTACGAAACACTTATTTTAAAGTTAGAAGTTCCACTTTGGAGTCTTGCCCTCATCCGTGTTTCAAGTCATTGGTTTACGTTTTGGCATTTTTTCACGCTGTCGTTCAAGAGAGAAGAAAATTTGGTAAAATCGGATGGAACATTAATTACGATTTTAATGAATCCGATTTTTCCGTTTGCACCCAGATATTAGATACTTATTTAACTAAAATGTTTGACGCCAAAGACAGTAGAATTCCTTGGAATAGTTTAAAATACCTCATAGGCGAAGTTATGTACGGGGGCAGAGTAATCGATAATTTCGATAGGAGGATAGTCAAGACGTACATGAACGAGTACATGGGTGATTTTCTATTTGACTCATTTCAACCCTTTTCCTTTTTCAAAGATAGTTCTGTGGATTATAAAATACCCAATGATGGAGAAAAAGAAGACTACATAGCTTACATAGATTTACTTCCGTTGGTTAATTCTCCAGATGTTTTCGGATTGCATCCGAACGCGGAGATCGGGTATTACACGAATGCGGCCAAAGACATGTGGACGTACCTCATCGAATTGCAACCCCAAACCGGCGTGAGTAAGGGCGGAATAAGCAGAGAAGAATTCATCGATAATGTGTGCAAAGACATAATATCTAAAATACCCCACGAATTTGACATGCCTAAAATTAGAAAACAATATGAAATGACTCTCACTCCCACAATAATTGTTTTGTTGCAAGAACTCGAGAGATTTAATAAATTGTTGGAAAACATGACTCAGAGTTTAAATAATTTAAGAAAAGCATTGGCCGGTGAAATTGGTATGGATTCCATTTTAGACAACATTTCGGTTTCTTTGTTCAACGGACAAATTCCTAATTCGTGGAGAAAGTTAATACCTGCGACGAGAAAAACTTTGGGGAGTTGGATGGAACACTATTTACGAAGGATAGCACAGTACACGACTTGGATCTCTTTGGGAGATCCCGTTGTTATATGGCTATCGGGTCTTCACATACCAGAATCGTATTTGACGGCTTTGGTGCAAATGTCCTGCAGGAAAAACGGTTGGCCGTTGGACAAATCGACTTTGTACACGGCCGTAACCAAATACAAAAATCACGACGAGGTAGAAGATAGACCGGATCAAGGATGTTTTGTCGAAGGTCTTTATCTCGAAGGTGCCAGATGGGATATAGAAAAGGGAGAATTGAAAAAATCTCTTCCGAAAATATTAGTCGAAGAATTACCTGTTTTGAAAATTATACCCGTCGAAAGGCACAGGCTCAAGCTTCAAAATACATTGAGGACTCCTGTTTACACGACATCTCTCCGAAGGAACGCGATGGGGGTCGGTTTGGTTTTCGAAGCGGATTTAAGCACATGCGAACATTCGAGCCATTGGATTTTGCAAGGAGTTTGCCTCATGTTAAACACCGATTAATAAATAATTAATTACTCATGACCCCCTAACAGTTTAACTTTTTTTTTTTTTTTTTCCTTGTATATATAAATATATTCATTTCAGTGTGTGATTTCCTCATAAAAATAATTTATTTATTTATTTTTTAGTTTGTAAAGCAAAAAAAAAAAAAAAAAATAGTTTTATAAAACTCATTCGTCGTTGTATATTTTTATTTATGTAAAACATAATAATAATAATAGACTTTTGTGATATTTTTTTTTATAATTTATTATATAAATAAATATATACTCGATTTTTTTTTTTTTTTTTTTTACACAAATGATGAATCATTATTATTTTTATAAATATAATTAATAATAATTTTTTTTATTTAACCTCAAATCTAAAATGGAAACGATTCGGGAAAAAAAAGTAATAATAATTTTACTAAAAATAAAAATGTGAAAGAGAATAAGAAGAATAAAAGAAAAAAAATTTAATAATTTCAGGACCGGAAACGTGGGCATCAAAATTTCCTTTGGCCGCCGGAAGTAAACAATCACCCGTTGATATAGAAACGGCAAATGTAAAATATCATTCATCGGCGGCATCTTTGACTTTTAATTACGTACCAAAGAACGATTGTCGTTTGTGTAATTCAGGTTACGGATGGAAAGTTTCCGTCGAAGATGAAAAATCAGGTATGATATAAATTATTGTTTAATTTTTTTTTAAATTTGGTAATTTTAATTATTATTATTATTATTAAAAAGAATTAAGTGGGGGGCCTTTAGAGGGAAAATACAAATTAGAACAATTTCATTGTCATTGGGGATGCAGCAACGATAAGGGATCCGAACATACAGTTAACGGACAATGTTTTGCCGGGGAGGTACGTATGAGAAATTTTATCAATTATCTCTCTCTCTCTCTCTCTTTTTTAAATTGTAATTTTTTTTTCAGCTTCATTTGGTACATTGGAACTCGACCAAATATTCATCATTTAAAGAAGCAGCAAATTATTCTGATGGACTTGCAGTTTTAGGAATTTTCTTAAAAGTAACTTGTATTCATTTAATATATTAACCATAATAATAATAAAATAATAATAATAATAATAATATTATAAATTTTCAGGCAGGTTCAGATAATGAAGAATTAGAAAAGGTTGTCACAAAGATACCATCGGTTTTATTCCGGAATGAATCGGTACAGATTGAAAATTACATAAATCCTTTTAATTTATTACCTGAAAAAAAAACTTATTGGACTTATCAAGGTTCATTGACAACCCCACCCTGTACAGAAAATGTTACTTGGATAATATTTAAAGACCCTGTCGAAATCTCCGATAGACAGGTAAATAACAAATAACATTATCATTAATGAAAACCATTAAATATTATTATTATTATTATTATTCTGATAAGGAAGTACACAATTTTGTTATCTATATGTAAATATTTTTTATTCACTGTTCAAAGATAAATTCTCAAATTAATATTTATTTAAATAATTATTAATTATTATCAAATTAAATATTGAAATGATTTATTTTATATCGACTCTTTTTATATATTATAATCCTTTGAAAATAATAATTATATTTAAATAAAAGAGCCTTATAATTAAGTATTCTTTAAAATTAATTAAAATAAATTTTGTTGTTGTTGTTGTTTTAGTTAAGCATATTCAGAACTTTAAGATGTCACACAAAAGAAAATATAATTAATGAATCTGATGGTTTGATAATGAATAATTATAGGCCTCCACTTCCTTTGGGTAATAGAGAACTTCGTGAATGTGGATCATTTTAAAGTAGTCATTAAATATAAAAAAAATAAAATCAAAGTATTGAAATATAGTTTTAGTGTAAACAAAATAATTACAAAAAAATAAAAAAACAATTAAATTAAAATTCATTTTTAAAATATTTAATAGAAAAAAAAAAATAGTATTTTATTGTATATTGACTAGTAAAAAATAAAAAGTTTTTTAGATTTATATATTGAAATTTTTTTTTCCGAGTACAATTAAAATTCAATTTTGCAAATTTTTGTGTTTTATTTTTCTTGTTAAAATTATGAGTTTTTGTGTTTTTATTTCAATATCATAAAATTAATAATTTATTGATAAAAATGTATATTATATATATATATTATTATTTATAATGATTATTTTCAGAATGAGATTAAAACTTTCAAAACTTCATTTCAATTCATAAAGAGCATTCTTCTGGAACATTATTCAAGGTAATGCATAATTCTTTAAAAAAATTTTTCAATATGGCAGCTTGATTTCCACGTTTCTGAAATCAGAATAATAAATAATAATTTTTTTTTTTTTTTTTTTTTTTATAATTCATTAAATGAATTTCATTTTTATCTTAATTGTTTAAATTGTAGTCAGGGATTGACAAAATAATAATTTGAGTTTTATTAACTAATAATATAACATTGAAATTCTTATCTCAAAATGCAATCAATTTTATTGATTGAACAGTGCCCTCAATTTATAATTTCATATAAAAACAAAATGCATTAATCATAACAATGAATTGATTGCTTTTAGTTTTTTTTATCATGTAAAAACAATTTATTGATTGAGGCTAAATTCAAAATTAAAATCTTTGATTATTTTTTATGACTATTATTAAAAAAAAAATAATTAAAGATTTTTTAAATGTAAAATCATTTTCCGTTTTAAACAAATTGAAAAAAAAATTTTATGATAAAATTAATTTTTAAAAATAATCAAGATGTGTGACATGTTAAACATTCTTTTACATAATTAGTGAACCTTTAAGCATAACTAAAATAAATTAACTCACATTATTAATTAAGACTGTTGGTATGAAATCAATTTTCGGATGTAAAGAATGTGTCAGTTTTCCATAATTACTTAAAAGAACATTTCCTAAATCTGACTGAGAACAATCTGATATAGGTTTCCAATCTATAAGTAATTCTTTGGCACATTTTTCTCCTATTAATTCAGGAATTATATTATCAGATATCATACATGAAACATATTTTATTTGTAAAACTTGATTTGTGATTTTTGAAATTGAACAAGCATGAATTTTATTCGCTGCACATTCAATTGGACCATGTTGACAAGAAAATAAAAAATTTCCATCATTATTTATTTCTGTCTGAAAAACAATAAAAAAATTAATAATTAATTTTTAATAGGTTCTTATCGGCATATGTGAACATAAATATTTAATTTTTTGTATTATGTTTATGTTATAAACATGAACGTGGATTCTTAAAATTACATGAAAATATTTAATTTATTATTTAAGGAATTTAAAAAAATTAATAAAAAAATATTAATTACAGAATAGTTAACGTACCTGTGCTTTACCGTAAGGTACTAAGGTCACATTTAAAAGTCGTGATGCTCTATTAACAGTCGGTAAAAGATGTTTTATAATAAAATTTTTAGAATCAGGACATAATGCTTCGTAAAATACGGTTACTGAAACTGGTGCAACAAGGGATGAACCTGAATTGTAATCTGGTACAGATTTCTAAATCAAAATAATAATAATAAAATCCGTATTTATTTATTTATTTTTATTTTATTTTTTTATAAATAGAAAACTAGATTTTACTTTAGTTAATTGAAGCCACGGTAAAAACTTTAGAAACTGAAATATTATAAATACTATAACTAAAAACATAAATATTTTTATTTTAGTATGGCTAATAAGGGCCATTATATTTTAATTAAAACAAAAGTAAAAAAAATAAAAATGATATTAAAAATTAACGGTAAAACTCATTGATAAACTTAGTTTGACATAACTAAAAAATAAACTAAAACCTTAATCATATGTTTCACTCCCATTTATATATTGTTCTAAAACCACGATGTTTTTAATTGTTTACCTCTATCAGTTGATTATAAAATATTTAACGGAAAAATTTAGAAATGAATAGTAATTCATCGGTGGACTCTAATAAAGCGGTATATTTATTTTTAAATTTCATTCTGATCTAAGTAATTTCTCCAACACTTGCATAATATACAATAAAACCGTGTTTAAAAGTAATAATATTAGGTAAACCTCGTGTGGTTGTATGGTTATACTAAAATTTAAATTTGTTTAAATAATTAAACGGTTGAATTTAAAACAATTTCAAAACGTTGCCAACATATTGTAATTTACTTAAATACAGTTTTTCATGTACAAGTATTTTACGTAGATTATGTAGTACTGAATTATTATTATTATTAAAACCTTAATTTTCGTTTTTATTCATTTATTGCAGCCACCAGAAATCGGTGATTTTGAAATAATAAAGCCTATAAGTCGAGGAGCATTCGGAAAAGTATTTTTAGGCTTTAAAAAAACTAATCCAGAACAAATGTATGCAATTAAAGTAATGAAAAAATCGGAAATGATAAATAAAAATATGGTGGGGCAAGTTAATAATGAAAGAAATGCATTAGCATTATCGAGAAGTCCATTTTGTGTTCATTTATTTTATTCACTTCAGTCTACTCATTCAGTTTACTTAGTTTTAGAATATATGGTTGGTGGTGATTTAAAGTCTCTTTTAAGTGTTTATGGTTATTTCGATGAAGAAATGGCAGTTTTTTACATTTCTGAAGTTGTTTTGGCTTTAAAATATCTTCATAATCATGGAATTATTCACAGAGATTTGAAGCCTGACAATATGTTACTCTCTGCTACTGGTCATGTAAAATTAACAGATTTTGGTTTGAGTAGAATTAGAATGCAAAGAGACTTGGAAATTTCTGATTTAATTAATTGTACACCCAGTGTCGAGTACTGTACAAGAACTCCTGGTCAACTTTTATCTTTAACTTCTCATTTGTCTTTTGTGAGTACAATTTAATTACTATTGTAGATATCAAATATTTACATATTATATATATATTTTATAAATATTTACATCAATTCATTTTTCTTATTTACTATTTTCCAACATCTAAATTTTTTTTTTTACAATTTCATATAATTATTACAGGGTTCATTTCATAGTACTTCACCAGAATGTAGCTCCACATCTACTTATAGCACATCAATGGGCTCAGCTTCCAAGGATTTGTCAATTCTTTTAAAAAACAGTTAATAACACATAAAAATCATTTTAGTAATTACTAAAAAAACCAAAAAAATATTTATTGAATATGATGATATTTAAAAATAATAAAAATTAATGTTAAAAATGCATGTATGTATTTCAAGTAATTTTTTTTTTATTTACAGATATTGGTAACATTTCAAAATCTAGATTAGGGTTCAACTCATCAGTAAAAGATAAAAGTAATGGATTAATAAAAGAGCAGCCAAGCCTTTGTCAAAAATTTAAAATATCAGCTTGGACTAATGATCTCAATAGTAGTCATTTATCAGGGATTGTACCTATTCAAACTGCCGAGTGTAGTTTCGACAGGTTTTTTTTTTTTTTATTAATTTCTTTTTTAATTCAAATTTAACTCTTAATTAATAATGTAACTCTTGATTAGAATTTCTAATGATAATCCTAAATTGTCAAAAAAATAAAAATTTTTACTTAGAGGCATTGAAGAAAGTTATACTTCAGAATCTTATCATACGTGTGAGAGCAACACAGAAAGATCCCAAGATACAGATGCTGAAAATGTGTGTAAATCAGGATGTAAAAGTAAAAATCTCTCGATAACATCTCCTGTTAGCAGGTAATAAATTACAATTTAATTTTGATTGTTTTGTCAAAATGTTATACTTATAGATATTAATATTTTAATAAATTTTTTTAGGAGCAGTTGCAATTTAAAAAAAAAGCCAAGCCTAATACGATCACTAAAAAGAAAAAGAAGTAGTTTAATTGATGTTCCAATGCGTAATTTTATGGAAGATGTTGAAAATCACAACAAACAAAAGAGATACGACAATGATAAAAATGGACATACGGGATTAACTCAAGAAATAAATTTTTTAGATTTAAATTCTCCAAAAATGATATCATCTGAAAAAAGCATAGATGCAATAAGTCCATTAAAAGAAGTTTTTAAAACGAGGTTTTTTTTTTTTATTTTAGTTAAAATTAGTTAAACCTCATAAATACTACATCCGTTTGTGTAAAATTAAAAAAAAAATGTATCTAATAGATAATTAATTTTTCTTTTAGATCTCAATCGTTTGAAGATATCGCTCAAGGAGTTTTATTTTCAACACCCGTATCTTCAGGAAGGTCAAAAAAAGAAGAATTTTCTAAATTTAAATCTACCAGATTTCAATTTCCAGAAAAAACCGAAACTAAATGTAATTTTAAATTAACAATGGTAAGTTTCTTCAAGCTTTTTTTTTTGTATACATCATATCTCAAGCAATACAATGAATGAATACATATATGAAACAATAATAAAATTTTAGTGACAAATAAAACAATTTTGATATTAAAGAAAATATTAAGTAAAAACCATGTTTTTTTTTTAAACGTATAGAATGAATCTCCGGTTAGTCCTATTTCAACACCTTCGACGAATAAACTTTCCGTTTACAAAACACCTAAATCGGTACGAAGAGGAAAAATAGCCAGCGATCAACGTATTATGGGTACTCCTGATTATTTAGCTCCGGAATTACTACAAAAAAAAGAACATGGTAAATTTTTAAAAGTTTCTTTTTTTTGTAATGTCGATCAAACGTAATTTTTTAAATATTTTAAAGGTTCGGCTGTTGATTGGTGGGCATTGGGTGTATGTTTATTTGAATTTATGACCGGAATTCCACCATTTAATGATGAAACCGTTCAAGCTGTATTTAATAACATACTTAATAGAGATATACCGTGGCCAATAGGAGAAGAAGAACTTTCAAAAGAAGCTCACGATGCCATCGATTCATTGTTAACGATTGATCCAACCCTACGACCAACCGGATCCACCGTAACGGAAATGAAAATTTTTTCTAATATTCATTGGGAAAAATTATTAGAAGCAAAAGCACCTTTTATACCACAGCCAGATGGTGAAACAGACACAGCATATTTTCAAGGTTTGTATCATGATTTACAACTTCATTTTTATCACCATTTATTTATTTTTTCATTTTTTTTATTTTTTGTTTTTTAGCGCGAAATATATTACAAAATCTTAATGTATCCAATTGTGAAATGTAATTTATATAAAATCATTGAATACTAATCATAATGGGAAAAATTAATAAAGAAGAGGAAAAGAGTAAAAAGAAAATTGCCGCCATGTTGTTACAAGTTTTAAACTATTGAATTTTATAATTTATATAACACGAAAAAAAAAAAAAAAAAAAGAAACTTTTTAAAAAATTATATGATATTCTATTTATATGGATGAAATATGTACAGCTTATTTTATTAATAAAAAAAAAGAAAAATAACTGTTATTTTTTATTTATATTGCATTTATTCAGAATTATTTATTTCAGTTTCTTTTTCTTTGATTTTTGTTTGCAAATTAATAAAATAATTTAATTTGATTAAATTACATTTGGCTTCCCTACATTTATTAGAATTAAAAGAATCAGAAATTAAATTTAATTGTTTGTTGATTTCTTCATTGTTTGCTTTTTTTAACAGTTTCAATTTAGTCTTACTAATATTTTCCAATTCTTCATTTTTTTCCATAATTGACATTAAAAATTCTTGTTCTAAAGGTAAATTTTCAATTGATTGATTTCTTAACTCGAGTAAATAAAAACCTCTTTTAACTGGGTCTTTTAAAATAGTATATGCTTTATTAACCAGACTTGAATATGTTTCTGATATTTCTAATTCTTTCTAAAAATAAAACAAATACATTTATTAATTAACAAATATTAAAATACAATTTGTGTAGATTCACAAATTAAAAAAAAATTGTTTTTAATAATTTTATTTTTTTTATTTAAGGTATTTGTTATATAAAATTCAAAAAGCAAGAATCACATATAATTGTAAACAAATATTTTTATGAGTTTATAAATTAATCATTACAAATAAGATTTTAAATTTCAATCATGTATTTGTAATTTAAAAAAAAAAAATTTTGAATGCTGATAATAGAAATCCATACCTTTGATTTATTCATAAATTTATCTGGATGAAATAAAGATTGTAAATTTCTAAATTTTGATGATAGCTCCTCTAAATTAATATCATAAATTTGGGAAATTCCAAATAATTCATAATAATTCATATTATTTTCAGGTATTTGTAAAGCTCCGCATGAAGAACACAAGAATTTTTTTGGTTCCAAATAGTGTTTGCAATTCCAACATCTTTCATCAGATAAATTAGAAAAATTTTTATGATTTTGAAATTTTGGTATAAATCTAGGCGATGGTAATATAAATTTATTAATTGTTTCATTTTTCCCATGTAAATATTTAAATAAACCCAAAGAAAAAATTTCTGAGGTCGGTCGGTAAAAAGAATTTTGAAATGTACTTATTTGAAATGATTGACAAAATTTATACTTGAAAATAAAATCAAGTAAAAATTTTTGACGATGCATTATTTTTAACTTAATCAACACCTCAGAGAAGTTTAAGCAGACGACATTGGTTGCCTCCACTTATTAGTTAAAATAAATCAACCAATAGGATTTTGACAACACAAAGCTCCATACTACTTGTTCAATAGAAAACGTGTTAGTGTTCATTTAATTTTTCATTTAACCGGTGTTTGCAGTATGGAGATTTTACAATTATTAATTTTAGCTTCATCCTATTTTTTAATAACAGCTGCTGATAATGTTATAGAATTAAATGATGATGATTTCACACACAAAACGGCCGCATACGATACGGCTTTGGTAATGTTTTATGCACCATGGTAAGAATTGTTTAATTTTTTAATTATAATATTTTATTATGTTCTTTATATTAATGATTTATTTTAACATACTTTAGGTGCGGTCATTGCAAAAGACTGAAACCCGAATATGAAAAAGCTGCTGGCCTTTTGAAAGATAATGATCCTCCAATTACTCTCGCTAAAATAGATTGTACCGAGGCCGGCAAAGAAACGTGCAATAAGTTTTCCGTGAATGGCTACCCGACGTTAAAGATATTTAGAAGTGGAGAATTGTCTCAAGAGTACAATGGCCCGAGAGAAGCCCACGGAATCGTTAAATACATGCAATCACAAGTTGGTCCAAGTTCTAAAGAGTTATTATCTGAAGAAGATTTAAATAATTTATTATCTAAAAGTGAAACTGTGGTTGTTGGATATTTTGAAAGTGAATCATCAACCAAAGATGTATTTTTAAAGACTGCTGATAAAATGAGAGAAAAAGTCGTTTTTGGTCACACATCCAATAAAGATCTTATTGAAAAGTCTGGAATAAAGTAAGTAAAGTTTTTTTTTTTTTTTTTTTTTTTTAAATATTGTATATCAAATTAAGAAATTTTTACTTTACATTCAGCTTTATTTTCATTCAAAAAAAAAAAAAAAATTAAAAACTGCATCTAGATATGATTTTATAATATATGATATTAAATCTATTGTGTAATGAATTATTTTGATAATTCAAACTTATCCGATTTAAAAAACTCTCTTTCTTTGGTTAAATTAACAAATGTTTTGAAATTCTTACATTATGTACTTTATTTAATTATATACATTTTTTCAAGATAATTTCTTATATTGCAGGGATGGAGTTGTATTATATCGTCCTAAACATATGCACAACAAATTTGAGCCTAATTTTGTGGAATACAAGGGTAAAGCATCAGAGAGCGATTTGCAATCTTTCATAAAAAAGAATTAGTAAGTTTTTTTTTTTTTTTTATTTTATTTTTATAATTATAATTCAACATTAACCTATTGTTTTGAATTTAAATTTTCCGTAAGAACTTGATTAATTTAAACAAAACTACTAATGATTGAGTCATTGATAACATTTTAAATAATAATTTAAAACTATTATGCTCCACAAAAAACCAATCATTGCAAATTTTATAATATTTATGTTTAAAGAGCTTAATTTTAATTATTTGATTTATTTTTTTTTTTTAATTATAATTATTATTAGTTGTTTTGCCTTAAAATTTTTTTTTAATTTAGTTTTAATTTCTTAAAATAAATGAAGCATAAAGTAGCAAAACTTTACTGAAACTTTAAAAAGGGAAAAAAAAAAAAAAAATTTGTTTCTATGCAAAGTTGTTAGGAACAAGTGAAATGCTACTAAATTATTTGTTTTTTTTTTAAATTTTAAATAGAGATTATATAAAAACTAAATAAAAAATTATGAGTGAATGTTTACGAAATTTTTATAACAAAATTTATAAGTTTTGTAGTGGTAAAAATGTTACAGATAAATCTATTGAGTAAATATCGAATAATAATAATAATAATAATAATAATAATAAATATTAATTATTATTATTTTAATAATTTCTTTGCGTGTAACAACTTTTAATATATTTTGTTGTTTACAGTCATGGGTTGGTGGGACATCGAAATCGTGACAATTTGAACGACTTTCAAAATCCATTAGTTGTCGCTTATTATGCTGTTGATTATATAAAAAACATAAAAGGAACTAATTATTGGAGGAACAGAATATTAAAAGTAGCCCAAAATTTTATTGAAGATTTTTCATTTGCAGTAAGTGCTAAAGATGATTTTCAACATGAGCTTAATGAATTTGGATTCGATTATGTGTCAGGGGATAAACCTTTGATTTTTGCTAGAAACAAAAACAATCAAAAGTTTAACATGAAAGATGAATTTTCGTAAGTTCATTATCAAAAATACTGAATTTTTTTTTTTATTTATATATTAAATGATGATGATGATTTTTTATTTTTTTCATATAATTATTATGATGAAAATACTTGCCCTCTCTGAATTAAAAATAAATTTTTTTTTTTTTTTCTTTTTTAATTGTAATTGTAATAAGTCTTGAGAGCGCATTAAAATTAATTTATATGTTTTAGTGCGGACAATTTTGAAAAATTTTTAAAGGATTTGAAAAATGATCGTTTAGAACCATTTTTAAAATCAGAACCTATTCCGGACGATAATTCGGGTCCAGTTAAAGTAGCCGTTGCGAAAAATTTTGACGATGTCGTGACAAATAGTGGACGTGATTCATTGATTGAATTTTACGCTCCTTGGTGTGGACATTGCAAAAAATTGGCTCCCGTTTATGAGGAACTCGGTGAAACATTGAAGGATGAAAATGTTGATATTATTAAAATGGATGCCACCTCTAATGATGTTCCATTCCCATATGATGTTAGAGGATTTCCAACACTTTATTGGTCACCAAAAAATAAAAAATCTTCACCTGTTCGATATGAGGTAAGAATAAATTTTTAAATTGAGGAGGAATAATTTTAATTTTGATTCCTTTGTTGTAATACTGAATATTAATGAAATAATTAAAAAAAGTTAGTAATTGCATCCATTGTTGTTTGTTTTTTTCTTGTAGGGTGGTCGAGAATTACAAGATTTTATAAAATATATTGCAAAACATTCGACGGAAACATTAAAGGGTTACGATCGAAATGGAAAGGCCAAAAAAGAAGAATTGTAATTTAGTTCTTTTTATTCACAGTGAAAGACAGAGTTAATAAATGATATTAAGACAAAAGCAATAAAAAAAATCTTCATACAAATTCCAAAATAGTATATGTGATATACCTACATGCAATAAGTACTAATTGTTAAAATATTACATTTCAGAAGAACACCTGTATTCTATAATATTGAATAAAAAAAAAATTTTTATTTGATCAAACATTGATTATTTTTTATTAAATAAAAAATTATATTTACTTTGTACATCTGTTAATTTTTATAATTTTCCGATAAAAAAAAAAAATAAGTTAATATTTATAAAATAATTACTTAATAAAATAATAAAGATTTATTTTAAAATTTAATTTTTTTTTATAAAACTTATAATTTAATTAAATGTTGTTTTAATTTATTTCGAATTAAAAATACACCTAAAATACTTTTTTGTTTATCAAGTTTTTTACCAAAAATATTTATAAGTTAGAAATACATTTATTTGTTAAATTATTATTTGGTTGTGTTGTATATAAATGTAATATGGAAACATTAAAAATATGCACTGATTGGTTTCTTATTTAAAAAAAAAAAAAATAAAGCAAAACAAAACTTGATGAAAATTAATACAATTTTAAAATTAAAAAAAATTTTCATTTGCACATGACAATTTTTCATGGATCAAAGCAAATTTAAAATGTATAGAAGAAAATTAACACAGAATTAATTAAAATTTTAAAAAATGTCAACTATAATAAATTTTTTTTTTTTAGGAATATTTTAAATCACTTCAATAATAAATCGATTGCAAACCGTAGGCTAATTTTAAAATTATTATTAAATTTTATTTTTACAAATTAAATAAAGAAAAAAACCAAATAAAACTTGTTAAAAAATAATAATTCAGAAATTTAAATGTTTATGTAATAAAATGACAGGGAAATTACAATTATTAAACAATTTCTGTTGGTTATTTCCTGTTTAACCTAAATAAAGTGTCAGCAGACTGCCCACGACGAATTTTTTCACATCAACTGTCAGTGAAATCAAGAAATTTTGGTTTGCTCGTTTATTCCTGAAGAATTAGTTTTTAAATTTCATTTATAATCATGACTCGTAAGTAAAATAATCAATTTTAAATATTTTATTTGTTATAATAATTTAATCAACACTAATTACGTTATTAATTTTTATTTTTGTTTAAGTAGGTCTCAATCTTGAAAAAATTAATTTTACATTATTTTATCATATTTCTACGTCTTAGGCTTTTTGCAATTAAATAAAAATTAATATTGGTAAAAATTATTCATTTTCGATTATACAAAATGTATTACTTCCGTGGTTGAATTCTTTAAACTTATATTCTTTAAACTAGATTTACATTTCACAGTAGATATTTTTTTTTTATCCAGTCAAAATAGTTCTTATGGTTAAATTCTTTGAGCTACTTAATTTAATTAATATTTTTTCTGATTTAGGTGGTAACCAAAGAGAATTAGCTCGTGCTAAAAACCAAAAAAAACAACTTGAAATTCAAAAAAAAAAAGGAGCTTGTGACAAGTCTTCTAATGCTGGCTTAACTCTTGAGCAAAGAAAACATAGGTTTGTCATTATTATTCACAATTCAAATTTTTATTTTTAATTAAATTAATCATTTAAGTTTTTTCAACACATTTTCGTTAACTCGAAATAAAGTTTTCGAGAAAGAAAAAAAAATTTACTTAAATAAAAATGCAACTTTGTTTTCTCATTAATTATTGTAGGGATGCAGAGCTGATGAGGGAAAAACAAAGAAGAAAACAAGAAGCTATGGGTAATAATGGAAATACTAACTGAATGATATATAATTATTAATCTCACTCCTTTTACATTTCACATATATATTTTTTCATCTCCAAAACCATCTTTAATGTTTAAATAGTGTATCATTATCAGGTACAGAATATTAAAATTATTAAGTTTTATATTTTTAAAATACCATTTTAAGAATTTCGAAAAAAAAAAAAAAAAAAAAAATTCTTTATCACTAAAATGAAAATGCTTAGTTATATATCTTGTTCATTGATTATCGAAAACATTTCATTTAAAAACTAAGAAATTAAAGTGATAGTAGCAAAAGGTTCCAAAGTTTTTAAAATAAAAAAAAAATAATAAACTATTATAATATCTGTCATATTACAATTTTTTCATTACATTTATTATTTATTAATTACTTTATTTAAAATTCTTTTACAATTATATACAAGCCTTTAAATATATATTAGTCATTAACTGGCAGTGATAAAACAAAATTATTATTATTATTATTATACATATATATATATATATTTGTTTAAATACTATGTAAAAAAAACATTAGCCATTTTTTTAAATATAATTTTATAATTATTAATGGTATATTTTAGATTGAATTAATTTTTACTACTTAAAATTTTCATCTTTCCGATGGAAAACTTTTCGTCAAAAATTATTTTATTAAAAAAAAAAATTTCGATTTAGTTTGACAAAAAAAAAAATTAAATATATTTAATTAAAGTCATGTATGGGAGTGTAGATTATAAATTCTAAGTTTTACATGAATAGATATATTGGAAACAATACTAACTAAATTTTAATTAGTAATTATTTTTAATAAGTAACTAATAATAATAATAATAACTTTAGTTTGCTTCAGAGTTTTCTTTTTATTTTGGGGGGGGGGGTAGATTATTTGATTCGACAACAACAGATATAATAATAATAAAAGTAAATGAATATATATAGTTTATAAAATATTTTTAGTATTCTCTCACTAATACGCAAAAAAATATGAAGGGTTAGTTATTTTATGATAATAATAATACTCAATTTGTAATAAGAAAAAAATTTTGAGTCTGAATTTTTTTTTTTTTTTTTTTAAATAGGAAAAATTTATTAGTTAATATAAATTTATTATTAAAAAAAAAAAACTGTGATATGATATGAAAAATTATTTTATTAAATGACAGTTAGTTTAAAAATAAATGATTTCTTTCAAATTTTTAATTTTAATTTTAATTTTTAGAAATGTAGAATGCTTACAAAAAAAATTACATTATGGTATACAATTGCAATTAAAAAAAAAAAAAATTTCAATTTTTTTTTTTAACTTTGATATCTAATATAAGAATTATTATATTGTATATAAATGTTCACAAATTATACTAAAATTTTTTTTTTTTGTGAAATTATTATTTACAAATTAATTTAATTATTTCCGCTTTCATTTACTATATATATATTTATATTTATATAATTTTTTTTTTTAACACTTATAGTATAAAATTTTAATTTTGTATCTACGTATTATTATGGATCATTTAAAAAAAAATTTTCAAATTTTAAATATTTTTCTCACAATGCTAATATTTAATTATTTATATTCGTACAAATATGGCCAATTTAATATACTAAATACATTTGGTAAATATACATAAAAGAAAATAATAATAATAACAACAATTTTCCATTAAATGTATTTTATTTATATACATTTACATTATATTAAAATGAAATTTGTATATTGATTAAATTAAATCATTTTAGAAATTTAAAAATTATTTATTTTAATACTAAAAAAAAAAAAAATTTCTAAATGACTTTTTTTTTTTTTTTGTGAAAATAATAATAATTGTTTTAAATTGACACTTAAAATTGACCAATTTTATCTGTAAAAATATTTATTGAAATAAAAAAACTAATTTTTTTTTTTAAATACAAACAAGTATTGAGTGTACTTAAAGATTTAGAGAACATATACTACAAGTTGCTTGAGAATTGCATGGGGGTTGATGTTCGACAGAAGAATTTCTAGAACTAGAATCGAGAAGTAATCTATGATGACCGAAAACATCTCCGACGTAAACATTATTAAAAGTCAACCAAGGACCGGGAGGCCACACAACGTGGGCATTGTCCGACGACGATGTAGAAGGTTGAGGGTTGACGACAAGGGCTGGGGCAGGATTCAGTGGCTTTCCGGTGCCACGACGAAGTCCGTGAATTCCCACAGCCCCATTTTCAACTCACATTACTTGCAATATTTGACTAGCCTCGAAGGCAGTTCCAGGAAGAAGAATGACCGGACTCGAAACGTGTCCCGATTCAACGCAAACCATGTTTGGAAATTCATCGTCTCCGAAATCTGGAATTTCTTTTGCTTGATCCATCCATGGATTCCATATGACGGTGTCGGGAAAATTGTATTTTTGTATTCTCATTTTTCTTCCAGAAACTACATTTGTTATAATATGTTCCTGCGGGGTATTCCTATAAATTCGATCCGTCCATTCACTTATAGTAACTACGTCGCGACCTTCCTGATACGCTGCTCCTTCTCTAGTCTAAAATAATTTAAGTATTATTATTATTATTATTATGTGATAATGATGATTAAAATTACCAAATAACAATGTTGTTTATTGATTTTTTTTTAGGGAAAACTCACTTTATCAATAAATGGACAACCGTGTAATCCAGTGATTTGACACCTTCGAACGTCTGGGCACTTAAAATACGTGTGCAAAAGTAAATTAAAACTGAAAGTTAATTGTTTACTCGGATTGTATATTCCAATATTAAAATGAAGTTCTTTTTCCCTCAAAATAAGCCTATAAGTCAATCGAAATTGATAATTCCACATCGAACGTGTAAATTCATTATCCGTTAATGAAAATACAGCTTCGACGTCACCGCTTGGTAACCTTTCTGGAGCCTTTTCCAAATTCCAACGTGTGATACGAGCAAAACCATGTTGAGGTCCGAAACTCCAGTGTCCAAATTGAGCTTAAAAAACAAAATGTAATTTTTTTTTTTTTTTTTTAGGTAGAAACGATAGCAGAAGGTTAAAGTCATGATTTTTCAAGATTCATCATCACCTGATCGATTGAATAAAAAATATTGATTTTGTGAGAAACAAATCATTACAAACAGGTCCGTAAGTTTTTTTCTATTTTTTTTTTTTTTTTTTTAGGGAAACTCTTATTATTACTTTCCATTAATACAAGTTTGGCTCATGGTCAAACGTTCAAGTGCGATCAAAATTAGTATTTTAGTATCAGGGTTAGTCGTTTAGTCAAACGTATAATTACTAATAATAATTTCATTAGGTTTTTCCTTTTTGTTTAAAAACAATGCAACTTTGATAGAAAAATAATAATAATAATAATTTTATAAAAGTACCCTGGATTAGTAACTTTGTTTTTAATCAGTGAATTATTTTAGTAAATACAACAAAAGCTAAAATATTTCTAAAAAATTATTATTGTGGCATCCTTTTTCTATAAAGGACGACACACACATTTATTGAAAAAAGGATCAACATAAATTTAAAGTTCCTAATTGGAATATATAAAAAAGAAACTTACGAAATACAAAAGGTACTCCTCCTCTGATAGCCTTTTTCCCATCAAATATTGCTTGTTTACTGAAACAAAAAATATTAATAGGCCATTATTAATATATAAATATATATTTAACAAAAAAAAGGCGCCAAAAAAATAATTTTAAAATTGTTTTACAATCGAAAATCTTGTGTACAACAGTTAATAGTAATTGATCAATTGGACATTTTGAGTTTCATTATCCCCCATAAAAAATAAATTAAATTAATAATAATAACTTTGTGAAATAAGTAACTTATTAACTTAATAACTAATAATAATAATAATAATAATAATAATAATAAAATTATGATGGTACATTTTATATTATTTTCTATTACTTTATTTATTAATTGTAATAATTTATAGATTATTTAATTTTATACAATTTCATTACTAAATTAAGCCAAACAATAGCACAGGACCGTATTATTATTTGCATTGAAATTTAAATTTTTTTTTTTTTTTAAAAAACTAAAATTTAGTATTAGGTTTAAAAAATTACAAAAAAAAAAAACGAGATAAAATTTAAAAGGAATATTATTTAGATGTCGTGTAACAACATAATTAGTATTTACGGAAGTTCAACCAAAAAAAAAAAAAAAATGACCTAAAAAAACTAGTTAACCTCGATGAAAAATTCTTTCCTACATTTCAAATTAAGAGAGAGAGAGAGAGAGAAAAAAAATTTATGAGATTGAAAATAAGACCTTGGATTGTGTGCTGAAAATAAAAAATTGAATATATTTAAAATATAATAATAATAATAATAATATTCAGCTTGTGAAAAAAAATTAATTATTTTATATTTACAGTATTAAAAAATAAATTTAGTCAAGTTTTGCATATTTATTTATATATATTTATATATTATAGTAAATAATTTTGGCAAGTTAATATTTAGGCCAGGTTTTACCTTGAAAACTGATTAAATTATATAGAAAGGTGATTGTAAATAAAAAAAAATGTAATTTTCTTTCTGTATAACGAAAAATATTCTATAAAATACTTTATTATGTATATATATAATAAGTGACTGAAATGATTAGGAACACAAAAATTTGGCCTGAAAACCAAGTTAAAAAAAAAAAGGGTAAATTATTTGTCCCATAAATCACTGGAGAGAGAGAAAGAGAGAGAGATAGAGATAGATAGAGATAGAAAAGGGAAAAACTTAGGGAAGAAATCGATCAAATTGAATTTTTAAGTTTTCCAAATAAGTTGGATATTTTATTTTAACAAGGGAATATTTCATCTTTTCTACATAAATGTTTAGCATACGTAAATTAAATGTAACAACAATCAAGTATAATTGATAATTTTTGAAAGAAAAAAAAATATATAATTAAAATAACAAAAGCAATGTTTAACTTATGGATAAATCCATTAATTAAAAATACACTTCAACTCATGCGGAAACCTTTAAATGCATTTTTTTAAAATAAGTTTACGTCGTATCTTATAACAAAAGTATGCAAAGTTAAATCATTTTAAGCGTCTCGAAGGGAAAATAAAGAAAAAGAAAAAAACAGTTAAAATTTTTTGTACGGTTATATCATGTTTGGCTTATACGGGAAAATCTTAATCTTGAGGGTTCGGAGTCATTTGTCATGCAGCAAAAAATGGGTTTTTACGACAGCAGTCGACAAAAAGTTTTGGTTTTCGAAAAAGAAAGACGAAGCCTGTTTATACTGTTCATTAGTTTTATGGTCCTTAACTCTCAACTTTTCCACAATTATATATATATATATATATATATATATATATATATATTTTTATAAAAACTTTTAATATTATTTACTATTAGAAAAAATTTTAATAAGATATTAAAATACTTTATATTATATTCATTTTTTTTTTTTTTCAATTAAATGTAAATTTTAAAACCATGAATATTTTAATCATGAAATGCGGAAATATTATTATTATTATTATTATTATTCCTTGTATACATTTTTTTTTTTTAAAGGGCAAATTTAACAATTTTCTAATATATATAAATGAAATAATAATAATCGTTTATCCAAAAATGGTAATTATTAATTTACATACTGGTTATTTTCATAATAATAAATCTCATTTAATAAGAATGTTTTGCTAAAGTCAAAGAATATTCTAGAAAACATAGTTAACGTTAAAGATAATTAAAGAAGAAGATGAAAATAAAAGTTTTCGCAGACTCGACAATTTTCCAACCGGAAAAATAACTCGAGATCACTTCAGGACTTGCATTCCTCTTACATGGTTTTTTTTTTTTTTTATATTAAAGAAAATTTTTGGGGTTAAAATACATCCGTATTAAAAACTAAATTTTTTTATTTCGAATTTAATATAATTTATAGGAAAATAAGACTCGAATAATTTTATAAACGGGACATCCCTGATAAATCAAGTATAAACTTACAACCATTTTTTTTTTTTTTTTTTTAAATTCTTACTATTTACAATAATATATTTGAGTATTGTAAAAATTTCTATGTATATGATTTCTTTCAAAACAAATAAAAATTAAACGATGAGAAACTGTAATTTAGAAAAAAAGAAAAGTTTAGAGATAAATTGCTTTGACCTCCCCCTAAAAGTTTTCCAACGATATGATCCTTCATTAGGTAGAAAACGACGACGAAATTCATTTTATTACAGGATATTATTTCTTTTTCTTTACACACTTGAAAATTATTTATTAAAAACTAATAATTATTTAACAACATTTTCATCACATTATAAACATTGTTTATAATAAGAAAACTAAATATTTTGTTTATGGTTGTGGTTGTGGTGGTGGTGGTGGTGGCGGTGTAGCATTATTTTTTTATAAGTAATTATTGAGAGTAGTGATAGTAAGTTAAATAATAAAAAGCCAGATTGCATTATAAATTAAAAAAGCGCAAAAAAAAAAAAAAAAAAAAAAGAAAAATTGTTATAATTTTTATCTGAACAATTATATATATGTATGCGTAGTAGTATTTACCAATTATATAAGTACTTACGGAACATAAAAAGATACAGATTGTCAGGCATCGTGTTCAGGAAGCATTATTTAGTACAGTAATCCCTTTCTATTCGTTGATCCCAGAAAAAAACCGCAAATTACGAGACTCTGAAACAGTATTAAAATGGGGAATTTATGAAAAAAAAAAAAAAAAAAAAAAAAAAGAATTTCTAATTAAAATCATTTTTTGAGTCGATATATGTTTTTTATTATCGACTTTTCCCTTTGCTAATTTTCTGTTAGAAATTATTTATTTAAAAATTTAATAATTTTTTTTAGAAAGAGAGAAAAGAATCATATTTAAATAAATATATATCTAATTAATTAATACTGTAGAAGAGTATCGGAAGAATAATTAATATTTATATATATACTAAATATGTAAGTAAATTTCTAACTAATTTATTATATTTTATTATGTTTTTCAAGGATTCTAAATAATTAATAAGGTTTCGAATAGTGCGGAATTACTGTAAATAAATATATTCAATTGATTTTAATTTGTTCCGTAAAATATTTATTTATTTATTTATTTATTTTTTTTTAAATTCAAACTACTTATTATAAAAATATTCTCATGATCATTAAAATATTATTTTAAATAGATAAAAAACTGTAAAGTAAATCATGAGAAAAAAAAAAAAAAAAATTAAAATCATGCAAAAATTTAATAATTTGTACAGAAAAAAAAAATAATGGAAAATTGTTTTTGATGCTTTCAAATTCTATTATTATATCATTATTTTATAGATTTTAAATTTAAAAGGAGAGAAAAATTACACACAGGATAGTAGAAACAATCAAATGTTATTTATCCATGGACGATACTAATTTACCCATGGTTTTTATCATTTTTAATTATTATAAGTAATAAAATATAATTTTATAATATGAATTCAGAAAAATTATAACTAATTATGCAAATTTTAATTTCATACAATCAGACTTTTTTTTTTTTTTTAACTTACTAATTATTATTATTATTTTGTTTATGATTTGAAAATGAATGTGATGATCAATTTTGATTAATTTTATTATAAATAAAAAAAATAAATATCACAATGTTCAGTTTAAAAAAAAAAAAATGAAAATATTTACCAAATAATTTTATTATTTTATACCAGGTATATGTACATACAACAGTAATATACCGAAATCATAACAAATTTTTTTTTTTTATATTCTCAGTATGCTAATATCATTCACACTGTTATAGATTTATATGCAAATACATATACATATATTTTTAAATGTGTGTATATGTATGTATATACAATTAAAAAGCATAAATTATATATTTATGATTAAAATACAATTTAAAAAAATTTTTTGTTTATGAATGCATGAAATTGACTTAACAGATAGTAAAGTAATTAGTGTAAATGCTTATTTATTTTAATTAATGTGAAAATGTAATAATTTGGGATAACTAATGAACAATGCAATATTTTAATACTATAATATTATATAAATTGTATTTTTGGTCACATAATTTGTGACAAATTAATTTCAAACTTAAGTTATATCTTTTCAAGTTAATTTGACATTAAACTTAAAGAAATTATAAAATTACCCAAAATTTTATCAAAAAAAAAACTTACCTAACGAACAATTGTTCTTGGTTATTTACTCGCCAAGATACAACAGTAGCACCTGTAAAAAATAAAAAAATAAAAATTAATGTTAATTTTGTTCATGAAATATTTCTTCTGTAGGAAACTAAAAGATTTGAAGTAGAAAAAAGATAATAATAATTTGTTATACATTTAAATGATGTAATTAGCTTATTTCATTTTAATAATATGTATTTTAAAATAATACTATAAAACTATATTAAAAATAATATTATTTTTAGAAAAAATAAACATTTACCATGTAAATTGATAGTACATGTTGTATTATTTCCCCTATCTAAGACAACAACACTCGTTGCTGCCATTTTGTAAACTGTTTCTTTTTCTTTGTATAATTTTTCGTCAATTGTTCGTTAATTCAACGTTGCCGCTTTCCGTGGCCGCAGTTACATATTTATATTTTTTATTAACGGATGGAGGGAATTTTTTAAATTTAAATTTAATATATATTAATTGTCAATTTTTTTTAAATTTTTTTTGTTTATAACAAAATTTTTGAAATCTATTACTAAGATACAATACTATTAATACCGCAAAATAATAAACATTTTAATTTTTATTTATACTTATGGATCTTTTATAAAAAATAATATTTTTAAAAATTTATTTCAGTTAATGAATTTTTTTAAAAATAATAATAATATTAAATATGTATTATAGGAATGTTTAAAAATTATTATTATTATTTTTTTTTTTTTTTAAATTAATTAAATTTTTTAAAAAATTGAAATTAATAATTTATGAAAAATACTGTTGGGTTTTTTTTTTTTTTTTTTTTTTGGCTAGATTTGCAATGTTGCAATTTGTACAATTCAAATATTCCAGATTATTACGATTTTTGAAAACGGTTCGTAAAATTGTTGAATAATTTTATATCTTATGTTGCTCAAAATAAAATTCTCATATGGATAATCAGTTACAATGGTAAAGTTTTATTATAAAACTGTAAATAATTCAAATCATAAATGCACTATTCGTCTGTTAGATGACACTGAAATTTTAGAATGCGAATTCCAGGTAAAATTGTCATGAAGTGATTTATGATAAATTTAAAATTTTGGTTCATTCTAATTTTTTTATTTTTTATTTTTTCAGTCTGATCATAAAGGACTTAACTTACTAAATTACGTTTGCCAACAGCTTAATATTATAGAAAAAGATTATTTTGGACTTCGATTTGTTGACATTGCCAAACAAAGGGTTAGTACCAAATAATAGATTTTACAAATGCTTAATCAAAACTACCTGTTGTTGTTTATAAAAGTGATTTATTATTTTCTCCTATTCGTAGCACTGGCTCGATCTCAAAAAACCTATTTTAAAACAAGTAAGAGGTAAGACTATATTAAATATATTTAAATCAATAAAGCACTGAAAAAATAAAAATATACACTTAGACACCATTTTTAAGGTAATGATTCTACACTAACACTTACAATTTTAAAATTTTACATTAATTGTTTTTAAATTATAAAATCAATTTTTTTTTAATTCACAGAAATGAATCCTGTATTATTCAGCTTTAGAGTTAAATTTTATCCTCCAAATCCAGCTAATTTAAGCGAAGAGACTACTAGGTATTTTTTGTTTTTACAATTAAAACGAGATCTTTTACATGGTAGATTATACTGCAGTCAAAATGAAGCAGCTCTTTTAGCAGCATATATTGTTCAAGGTAATTATTTTATAATAAAACTAGTACTTTTAATTATAAAAAAATTAAAACATAAATTATTAATTAAATTTATAGATGAGTAGTTAGAATATTCTTGCCTGTATCATTTTACAATTAGCCTTATTGTCATTATGTTATTTTTTTTAATTGTTACATTTTGTATAGTTTTGATTTAATTAATAAGTTACAAAAAGTAATTTAAAAGTAATTTTATTTAAAAAATTGAATTTTTAGTAGATATTACTTATAAAAAAATAAAAAAAATAGTTTTATAACAAATTATTTTATTTATTGGAATAATTAAAAAATTACATTGATACAATTTTTTTTAAATATTACAAAATTTACAGTAGGTATACAGTAAAATATAAAACAAATTCTGCTCATTTATTTTTTTATTTGATGAAATTGTAATAATCTAGCGGAACTTGGAGATTATGATCCTGAAATTTGTATTGGGAATTATGTTTCAAATATAAAATTACTTCTCAAGCAAACACTTCCGATTGAAAAACAAATATTAGAAATTCACCAAACACAACTCAAGGGTCAATCTTCTTCTGCTGTAGAATTATTATTTTTAAAAAAAGCATGTCAGTTAGAAACATATGGTGTAGATCCTCATGTAGTTAAGGTGAGTAATTTTATAGTGTTTTTTTTTTTTTTTATGAATTTCATATTATCATAAGTTTAATGAATTACTATTTTTCAATTTTAGGATCACAAGGGAAATACATTATATGTTGGAATTAATCATTTGGGTGTTCTTACCTTCCAAGGGAGTAAAAAAACAAGACAGTTTAATTGGTCGGAAATTCAAAAAATCAATTATGAGGGAAAAATGTTTATAATACATTTAGTTTTTTACGAGGTTAGATTAGCAATTTTTTTTTTTTTTTTACTTTTAGTTTTAGTTTAGTTTGTGTATTTTCAACTTATAATAGTTTTATTTTTAATTTAAAATTTCATAATTGTTTAAAAACTAAACGGATTTTAATTAATGATTAAATTAGAATGTGTTTTAAACTTTTCTTCTAGAAAAAATTTTTTTTTAATTAGAAAATTTTTACTTCAATATTTACATGTGTTTCTTTTTAATTCTTAATCAAATTTGAAATTTTTTGTAAAATTAAAATTAAAAATGATAGCTGTCATTTATTAATGTGGATTCTTCATGTGTATATTGTATTTTATTTTATTTGTATTTTTTTATAGCGACGGATCTTATAATTTTTTTTTTGATGACCCAGGAGAAATGCATTTCGCATTGAACTTCCCCATCCGGTAGGAGGGAGAGTGTGGGACTCAGCAGAAGCCACTTCCCAACTGAAATTCCTGGATGTGTCATTGTGCCCTTTCCCGGAGGGAGGGGGGCTCGCGGGAGTCTCACCCGCATTTCAGCTTCAACTCCCTCCAGAACCAGAAGCATCAAGTCCACATTTGCGAGAGTAGGACGGTAGCTCCTCCCAACGGTTTCATGTGAGAAGCCCAGCCCACTCGAGAAATATTTCAAGAATCGTGACGATCGCTTGTCGCAGAACTTTTTCTTCCCGTTTTATCCCGTATGAGACAGTTTTGAGCTTCCACCATCTTTCACGCCTCTTCCCCTGAGTCAGCGAATTTCCGAAGAGAGATAGATTTCATCGATCGTCCATCTATTTTCCTTTCAAATAGCAGTACCACGTTTTCTGATTCGGATAAAGTATCCAGTCTTACCCCCGGAATAAGCGCATCCCCAATGTCCTGGAAGGTTGCTAGGTCACTTATTCTCTTATGAGAGTACGAGTCTTCCGTTCTCACTGTACGAGCTGAAATCAAACTCCTCCTCCCAGGATTTGAAGCCACGATATTCAACTCTGTGACTTTTCGGGCCAATTTTTCCCTAATTTTAGTCAACCTGTCTACCTCGGGCTCCTCCAAGGCATTCAAGTTGAAGGTTATCCCGTAGCCAATGCCTAGTCAACGTCAAAAATCCAATCCCATAATCTCCGCCTTAAAATATCT